TCAATGTGGTCGTGAATGCAATCAGGATGCAATATGGCACTATTTAATAACTTTCGGCAAAATATCTAAGTGTGTTATTTCTCAACATCAACATTGTGATTGTGGTACGATTTTTTTATTTTACATACGCTCATTCAACCTGAAGTATTGTTGTTTTTAGAAACCGAAGCACCCAGAGGAAACCTAACACACAGACACAGGGAGAACATGCTAACTCATCGTCAAACCTGAGTTGTGCACATTTTGACTGTTTATTTAATTGGTGAAAAAAATGACAGGTCTCATTTGGAACATAGACTATATATAGATGGACGATGCTAACCCACTTGGTCTATGAAACCCAATAGGGAAGTGCTCATAAATGAAGTTTTGCTCTGGCTCATGTTGATTTTTTTTGAAAAGTAAACTCCTTTAGCTCACTAACCTAGCTTACATAGAAACAGAGAAAGTCACAAAGTAATGAAAACCAAAATGTGTGTTTGTTAGTGTGTTTGTGTGTGCGTCTGTGTGTGTGTGTTTGTGCGTGCGTCTGTGTGTGTGTGTTTGTGTGTGTGTGTGTGAGTGTGTGTGTGTGCGTGCCTGTGTTGCAGTTCTCCTGAGTGCGGTTAGTGTTTGTCTGGCTGTAGACTGGAGCAAGAGTCACCTTGAAGCAGCAGATAACACACAGACACAGCTCCTCACGTCCTGTGGCTCGTGGGCGGTGCTGGCATTCAAGTTTCAACGTCTTTCTTTTTTGGGTTTACAGAATTTCTCTTCTCAAAATACTAATAAATCCTTACATTTGAGTATTTCCAAAGTTGATTAAATTACTTTGTGTGTTTGTGGCACAACCTGAATGTGCAATCCTGATCACATCAGTTTGAGATGCTAAGTAGAGCAAGGCCTGGTCATTACTGTAATGGGAGACTTTGGGAAACACCAGGTGCCAGAGGTGACTGTGCTGTATAGCGCCCACACTGTTGTTGTGTCCTTGGGCAAGACACTTCTCCCACATTGCCTGGTTAGTATGTGTCTAGTGTATCAGTGAATAATTGGTGGTGGTCGGAGCAGCCAATAGGCACGGAGTAGCCTTGCTTCGGCCATTCTGTCTCAGGGCAGCTGTGGCTACAGGTGTAGTAGTTCACCATCACCAAATGGAGTGAACAAATAATGCCATGAGTGATATGGCCAGAAAAGCGTTATATAATTTGAATCAAAATGTTCTTAAAAACAAACATAAACACAGTGGTCGATGGAAACCAAAAATGTTGGCAATTCAATTACATTTATTTTGTATAGCGCTAAATCGCAACTACAGGACTTTTGAAGTTGTTTGATTCACCAACAACAGATCAGAGAATCAAATAGTTGGAACACAGGAACTGCATTAATAACAAACACATGGGTCCATAGGGAGAGACCACTGTCCATAAACCTTCCTTTCCTTTTTTTAAAGGTCCTTAAAGGTCCCGTATCATCACTGTCCGGAAACTCTCCTGCTTTGGCAAGGAACAACCCCTTGTCTTTCTGTCTTTAGGCGGTTCCTAATTTGCAACATTTCTAAAATATAAATGCACATACTTATCATACTTGCTCTTGCTGGCGGGTAAAGATGTTTGCATATTTATAGATTGTGCAAAATGCAAGATAATTATGTTCAACACAGGCTGAGATTAGTCACTGACAGCTTAGTTCCAAGTTTGAATTTCCTCTGGTACATTTAGTGACTGTAATGCATATAGTAGCAGCATATTAAAAATGTAAATCTTTGCCCGCAGTTGCATTGGAGGAGCCCTAATTTCATTCAGCTAATATTCATGGGTATTTCCCAGTATTTGCCTTGAGCAGAAAGTCCTCATGCTATAGGTGAGGGAGAGTTTTTGGCTCGTGACTTTGGCCTCACAGTGAACAGATGTCCTGTGCGGTCAGTGTAAACACAATGTCCTGCCTGAGCAGAATTCACCCACAGGAGGTCCACTTCCTCCTCCTGATCGGCTCCTTACGTACAGTAAACTGGAAATAACTCAATTTAATGACACCAATCGCTGCATAATCACTTAATTTTGTGTGAATTTTCCAATGCCTTATTGTGACTTTCGAAACAAAGTAATGTTGCTTAACAGACCAATGAGATTGTAGTGAATTAGACTGCTTTCAAATGTAGGATATTAGGATATGGATTAACATCAGGACTCCCATTCAAACCAATCATTCCGTATCATTCCGTGCCCAGATCACTGTCTCAATCTGGATCAATTCAATTCAATTTATTCTTGTATAGCCCAATTCTGCAACTTCAGAACGTCCACTGAATGTCGCTTTACCCTGCCCATATACAACATGTAGTTATCTCGGAGGACATAACAAAATCATTGAATTCGCCCACACAGATCAGAGAATCAAGCAGTTCAAACACAAGAAATGCAACAATAAAAACACATAGATTTGTTGGTCCATGGGGCAGATGACCACAGTCCAGAAATAATGATGAATGCCCATAAATGTTTAGTATTCTGGATCATCACCCCTGTCCTTTTAGTTAGACCAGGCATGTCCAAACTCAGGCCCGGGGAGCAATTGCGGCCCTCTGTGTAATATTCTGTGGCCCTCTACCTTGCTAACCCAAAGTAGTCCTTGAAATCATAAACACAAGTTCACTTTGTCATCCATCCAACTTCAGCTCAGCCAATATAGACCTTGTTCTAAAGCCCAGTACGTCATTGACTTTATGCACATACTGTATTGACGTGGTTTTTGATTGTGTCACTTTCGTTAATGGCGCTAATGTAGCTAGTGAGATGGTAAACATTTGTCATTCAGCCAACTTCAGCTCTGTTAGAGATCATCATAAAGCTCAGAATGCCAGTCAAGACAGTTTTTCAGTCCGTGATGTCGCCCCCTGGACTAGTCTGGTGAACTAAAGTGGCCCTCTTACTAAAAAGTTTGGACACCCCTGAGTTAGACCCTCTAACAGACCCTCCTGCATTGGTATGGGATCGCCGTCTGAATGCTAGGATTTGTTCAGAAATATGTTGCTGATTTCTTCATTCTGCTTCACTCCGACCCAAGTTTAGATAATGGACCCGAGGCCAGGCCGTCCTGGGCTCTTCTCCAGAAAAGCAACTAACAAAGAGAGTGCGGGAGAAGTGACTTTTTACACATTTGAGGGAAAGTTACTTCAGCAACACCTTGTCCCTGGTTCACAAAACCAGAGCATTTGAATTTCAGAGCAAGACTTTGAAAGACAGCATTCTTACTTGGGGGAGTGTTGGGGTCATAGACTGTATATTAGGAGTGAACTGACCGAGTGCTGACGTTACCATAGCGTTTGCAGAATCTGGAAGCTGGAGCCAATTTCCGTATATGGGCATTTGCTCATGCCGTAGCAGGGCCAGATGGAAGACAATATCAAAATAAAAACAATAGGGCTGTATCAAAATGTCCACACTACTCCCTATATAGTGAGTGAGTGACATTTGGATACAGCCTTGGATCCCAAAAGAGAGATATACCATGGAGTTTTATTTTTTGCACCAAATGGTTAACGTGACACATTATTATGTGATTGAGCCATTGGTCAATTGGAGCCAGAGCGAGTGGGAGCAAAACTTTGTCCATGCACACTTCTCTACTGAGCTTCATTGAGCCAGCAGGTCAGCATTGTTCATCTATATACAGTCTAAAGTTAAAAATTTTCTCTCCACGGATGTCTCTAGTCCCCACTCAACCTCTTGTAATGGTTCTTGTGCATCTTTCACATAATAACTTGGCGGTTTCTTGTGTGTCCTGTAGGTGGGCTGCTGGCTTCCACTCAGAGGGCGTTCATTAGCATGTCTCTTTGAAGGACGGACTAATCTCTGGGATGCAAGCCATACAGATCTAAGGGGCGCAGGAGGGGACACATTTCCTCTAAATTAAATAACGCACACTCAGTACTAAAGTAGCTAGAAGTCCCCAGGCAGGAGTGAGCCAATTAAAGGGATTTTTGTGTAAAAAGACTCTACTCTGGCTGCCTGCAACTAAGGGTTATTTTTTTTTAATAATTAAGATAGAATGTATGGCCTTCAATCATTGATTAGTTGTTTATAATGCATATATGTGCATTTTTTGAGTACACATTTGATGCAAAAAGTAGGTGCTGGAGGACATCTGATAGATTCCAGTCAAAACTATTTTTATCTTTGATGTATTTGTATTTGTTTTGTAATGATTGGCCTGTTTGAGTCTTCAACACATGTCAGTGCTGTGGGGTGTAAATGTCAGAATGAAAATGAGTAGATTACTAAAATCGTGGATTATTGAAAACACTTTATAAGTATTTAAAATTTGAACAAGGAAAATGATCTACAGGTGGGGTCTTAAGGTCTGTGGCCTCCTGCTGGACATCAAAGTTTAATGTTAGTGCGGTTCACAATAGCAATACAACTAAAGGTTGTATATCATATCTCATATGTAACCTGTGGATAATCTGTAGAAAGAAGATTTCTGTCTGGACACATCAGTGATCAATAATCATGAAACACAGATGTTTTCTGACAATAATTGTAAGTCTAGAGCAGGGGTGTCCAAACTTTAGTTCAGAGTTGTGTAGGGGCCGACAACATGGATTGTACAATTGTTTTGACTGGGTACTGACTGTTCATGAGGTATGACATATTTTGACAGAGCTGAAGTTGGCTGAATGACAAATGTGTATTATGTCACCAGCTACATTAGCACCATCATGTTAGGACTCAAACATAAATGCCAGTGTATTCAAATAAAGCCATTTGCTGATTAGCAATGGTCTGAGCTTTACAACAAGGTATAAGATGTACAACATATATTGGTGGAGCTGAAGTTGGCTGGATGACAATGTGAACTTGTGTTTATGATCTCCAAAACTACTGTGGGTTTGTAAGGCAGAGGGCCATGTATAATGACACAGAGGGCCACAATCTGCCCGCAGGCCTTAGTTTGGTCATGCCTGCTCTATAATTTACCTTTGTTAGGATAATAAATAAGAGTCTTGTTTGCGACAGGGAGAGCGCCAGGACACAGACGCTGCTGAGGAGAGAAACGCTCAGGTGCAGCTCGAGAAGGCCAAGGTACTTCCTTTTATTTGTTGTTTGTATTTATATTTCTTCCTGGGAGCATGCATCATTACATCACTCTCACCCACACACTATTCTCATTCATCAAAATGAATGCCCAGTGTCGATTGAATCATAAAGCATTAAATATTAATACAATTCACTTACATTGCATTTATATTTTCAGATCCCTAAATCACAACACAGGTTTACAGTTTGAACACAAAGGAGCCATTGGTCTTTAGCAAGCGGAATGACCAATGTTCATAAATGTTAAGAAATATCCTTACAATACAGCTTATTCTTGTATAGCCCTAAATCACAACAAAAGTCATCCCAGAGGACTTAACAAAACCATTGAAATCACCAACACAGATCAGAGAACAGTTAAGACACAAAATATACACATATGAATTGGTCCATAGGGAGAGCCCAATGTCCATGAATGTTGATAAATGTCCATGTTGTAGAATGTTAAAGTGTCTTGGATCATCACCACATCCTTTTTGTTGGACACTAAGGCCCAGTCCCAATACTCGCACTTCCACCCTCATTTGCGCGTTCCTGATGATGGGTGCGAGTGCGTAGGGTGTCCCAATTCTTCAGGGAGGTCTTTGGCCCCGCCCCCTTTGCGCCCCTGATCCACACTTTGCCGTAGCCTGCATCTATGCGCACTCTGGCGAAGGTACGCACCAAAACGTCGGGAAAATGCATTTAAGTGTAAGTTTTGAAATATGCTGTATGTGTGTAAATACAGTATGTTTTGCTATGTTACTTGGAAAGAAGCATACATTTCTGATGAAGAATTACGGACATTGTATTTTAACAATTTAATAACTTTTTAAAGCAAGCGTTCATATAACATTCATTTTAAACTTTACACTTAGTACAATAATCTTAGGACGTATAAAAACTGACCAGATAACAGTTAGTTACCCATATTTAACTTAAAATTATACAGCTATCTCAAATTACATAAAACCAATATACATTTATTTTACGTGTGTGGAGCAACTAATTTTGTTTCCCACAGGGTCAGACCAAATTACCTAAAAAATTTTAAAGTTTAGGTCTGAAAATGACCATGGCTGTATCCGAATGTCCACACTATACCCTATTCACTCACTCACTATATAGTTCGGGACTATATAGGGTATAGTGTGGACATTCGGATACAGCCCATCTCTGGACGAGTCGATGATGTAAACTGCACTCAGTGTGCACTGTCCCAATTCCGCTTTTTTGCACGCTTGTAACCTGCGCACTCCAACCCTTGCGTGCACTTCAGACATATGCACACTTCGTAGTGGAATGTAAGAGTCAAAATTCTAGTCTGGTCCAACTGGTTACAAAGGTCCACATCAACTCTGGTATAATTATTCTCTCATTAAGATCACTAGAAGTGTATCATTGATAAAGCATGATATGATTTATAGAACTGTGAAGGTGAGGAAGCAATAATAATGAATAAGAACTATTATATTAAATAATAAACATTAATAAATAATACATTTAGGCTCTCACATGCATTTCAGGCTTATGCTTTTTAATGCACAACATCTCCTGGAAGATTTGTAAAAAATGCTAATATTGATGACGCTAGTATTGTTGTTATTGTTATCTTCATCATCGTCACCATCGTCACTATTACTGTTATTTTCTTCTTTTTGCTTTTTTTTGTTTGTCGTTGTTCTCTCGCCCTCGTTAACAGTCACTTACATCATACCACCAATTCCCATCAATAAGCTTGGAAAACAAATCAATGCTAAAAAAAAGGAGATACTGTACAAGTGAAAAAGGCAAAAAAAAGACAAATAGAAAATAAAATAGAAAATAGAAAAAAGCCCCCCCTCTCCCCATGTATGTACAGTATGTTGATGGTGTACTGTATGGACACTCACCTTAAACTGTTTGGACGTTCATGTAGTTATTGTGAGCGTGATTGGTGACTTCTCCGATGTGTGTTTTCAGTACAGGCCTGTTGCGTTCGCCGTGCGCTGCAACTTCTCATACACCCCCGCAGACGACGACAATGTCCCGGTCCCAGGACAAGCCATCACCTTCGAGGCCAGAGACTTCCTCCATGTCAAAGAGGTTCACGCCAACATTCATATTATAATAATATTTTTTTACACATTTTAAAGCTGGAACACCGATATCCTTATTTCTCCTAAATGTGTTTTGTTTGTCCCATCCTACAAACATTCACATTTTGTAACAAATCAGAATCACAACCATTAGAAAACATGAATCTTTTACATAGTGAGAGCTGATTGGCTGAGTGAGGGTGGTTCTTTCTTTTGTGACTGAGGCCAAACATATTTGTGAAAACTTGTGATAGAACCACATTGATAGGAAGTAGTTTTGAGAGATTGTAACATGGTTTTAATGACAACCTTTTAATTGGTTTGAAGGTACTCCAGATTTAAGAGACAAAATGTGGAATACTGCAAAAGAAATTACAAGTTTGTATGTATGTATGTTTGGGGGCTAGAAATGGATTAACGAGAAGAAAATGGATGGATGGAAGTACGCATTTGTTTGTGTTAAAAAACGTGGCTTCATTTCAGTATAATTTGGGTCCTCATTCTCATTCCAAAGGATAAATTACCGGTTTAGTCTCAATTTGAGTAAAACAAGACATTTTATGTGTGTTCCACTGGCTAATCTTGTTTTAGATTATCCTCTAATCAAGATGAATGCAATACACAGTGTGCAGTCTCTACTTTCAGACGGACGACAGGGACAGGGGCTTAGAAAACATTTTTGAAAATATCTTCACAGGAATGCATAGTTAAATCTCATCATTTTTGTTCGGGATTAGGGCCACAGTTTTGTTAAATTAATCTCATGGATTAAAGTTCTTTCTATTGACAACTACCAACACTTGTGTGGATTATTTCCAACTGTGTAATACTCAAGTTCAGACATGATTGCACCTTTGTCCAGGAGCGACACCGGCCTCAGCAGAAGACAGTAACTATATATTAGAGCTGCAACTAACGATTATTTTGTAATCGATTAATCTATCGATTGTTTTTACGATTAATCGAGTAATCGTTTGGCTGTGAATTGTGTAGAAAAAAATTTTTTTTTCATCACAAAAAGCTAAAGTGGCAACACTCGAGGACGTATTGATGGCGTAAACTTAAAATAAATGTTTGTAACAGGCTCTTTGTGCTAATTCTGCTATCTGATTGGATGAGACAGACAGATATTCATGAAATTATAAAAACAAAGTCGGTTTTAATCAAAAATACTACATTTTCATGTCATTTTTGCTCTGTTTGAGTCCGTGTGAACCAGAAAACGATTAATCGATTACTAAAATAGTTGTCGACTATTTCAATAATCGATTAGTCGTCGATTAATTGATTAGTTGTTTCAGCCCTACTATATATTTCATGTGGTTTAAGATTGTTTTCTTGCTATCTATACTATTGATATTTAGTTTAAGTCTTTTGATCGGAGAAAAATACACAAGGAAAAAGTGTCTGTGCCTCACCGATGGGGGCACACGTTATGTAACAGGTCCCTGGGTTAACTAGGCTCACTTAGAATTTGCAGCCAGAGAGCATCAATTGGACTAGATCAGAAAAGACTAGGTATCGACTCTGGGAGTGAGTGAAGCATACGCGAGACAGTATTTTGGGTTTTGTTGGTACCATATATTGCACACATATAAGACAAGGACACAGAGACAACATGTGAGCCTGAAGTTCAAACAGTCTAATGGTTCATACCAGAGTTTCTTCCAAACAATCGTGCCATTTTTTTTGCTGGAAAATGGATGATTTGATTGAAGATTTTTTTCTAAACTGGACTTTCAATCAAAGTTTCAAGTAGTGGGATTGATTTAGTCAATCTTCGTGTTTTATGTTGAAAAATAATAACAGGGCTTCCCCGAAAAACACTATTTCGAACACAGCTCAAGAGTTCTACTAAGCGCCATTTTTAAGTTGAACTAGAATAACGCTGTATTATTCCCCTGTATTATGGTGATTTGATGCTTCTTTAGACATTATTCACATCTATCCATGTGTTTTGAGCTTTTAAATACTTATTTATCTTTCTAAAAGATGGAATGCCAAAGTAAATATATACAGTTGTATAATGCCTAATAATTTTACATTTTGCATTTATTAGAATTTGCCTCTTTATGACAATCTCACATTTTCTCACAATTTAACTTTGAAAATGTATTCCGTTCCAGAAGACTCAATACATGATCTAAAATGTATTTTGTATAGTATTCCGTTTCTTTAGAAAAAGTACCTGTTTTCCTTTTTTTTCTATACTAGACTTGAAAGTAGTAACTGTAATGGAATACAGTTATTGCATACGTAAAGGCGATACAGTATTCAGTTACTCCCCAACACTGTCCATAAACCTGTAGATCCAAAAGTGGTTAAACCTTGAATATTACACAAAAGCTAATGTGTTTTTTTTGTTTTCTCGAGTCAGAAGTTTAGCAATGAGTGGTGGATCGGCCGGCCGGTGAAGGAGGATGGAGTGGTGGGTTTCATTCCCAGCCCAGTGAATCTGGAGACCATCCTGATCCGACGAGAGGTCCAGGCCCGGAAAGCTGCCAAGGCCTTAGCCAAGTATGTAATTAATACCTGTATTGTATTGGCCCCAATGTCATTCCCAGATTTGTAGTCTAGAATAAGAGAAGACGCTGGACTCCACACAGAAAAGTCCAAGTCAGATCTCTCAGCAAGTAGGTCCTGGGTTCAAATCCCTGTCAGAACAGGGCCTTTCTGGACTGGAGTTTGCATGTTCTCCCTGCTTAGGTTTCCTCTGGGTGGATTTTCCCCCGACCGCTCCTGACAAAGCCGAGCGTCAACATCAGGAGAGGATAGTTTTCCAATGAATAATGTTAAGCTGTAATCAAATCAGGACCTCTGTAAAACTGCTCTGGAGAAATTGGAACATTGGAGATCGGTGATTGCATTAAGAGGAAATAAAATGAACACACTGCTATAAGAAATGTCAGATTTTAATCAGTTCCTACAAGTGAAACTCGGAAAATTATAAAATTGCTCACCAGTTTGACTAAAATGTCAGACTAGCATACGGTAAAGACTTATTACATGCAGAGTGACCTGTTTAATGCCTTTGTTATTAAAATGATTATTATACCGCCCATTTTCAAAGCAGTTATATAGTCTGTGGTTATATAAAGACTAAACTTGGACTCGACCCAGAAAAGTCCAAAGATTTAAGCATTGCAACAAATTCTCAAAACCGAGCATTGGGAATTGATGGAAAAACAATGAACATTTTTATACTGTTAAGGGGCATAGACCGTAAGGAGTCAATGAAAATACATTTGAATACTCTGGTTACAGTAAAGTGTCCTCTCAAGTTGCTCAAGATATGAATTCAAAAAAGTACACCCCTCCTTCACAAGGTCAGTGTCCAGTCATTCTTCACACTTCATTATGGTTTGAATTGTGCTGATCTGCCATTTTCCTTTAACAGCACAACAGCAAGTGAAAAAGAAACCGGTAAGTTCTTAATTAAAGAAAAAATCTAAGAACTAGTGGGACAGGAATGGACCTAAAAGGGTTTGTAGCTCCAGTTGTAATCGGAATAAGAATCAGAATCATTATATTGACATTGTAAGTAACAAGAAGTCACAATTAGCTTAGAATTTAGCTTTGGCATCTGGAGAACTGGCAAACACAAACTATGCTAACTAACAAAATTTATTTATTGCTCAAAACACAATTTAGCAATTCATTCAATTTGAAAAGGTATTTATGTTCAACTATAACTATTCTGCAGCTCATGACACTGTCTGTCTTGAGAAAAGTTCAGGCATTCACATTAGAATAAAAGCCTTTATTGGAGTGGCCTTTTTTTTATTATGAAGGTATTTTAATCTAAACGTGGCTTTTCTCTTGTTTGAACCATTGTTTATGCTCGATCACATTTGATTAGTTTGGATACCAGCAGCTCCCTGTCCCTGCTGTTTCACGGTTTATATTCTATTCAAGGAAATAGGAAAGGGAAAAAAAATTCAATCCATGAAAACTGTTATTGATATTATTATTATGAGGCCTATTCTTGTGCCGTAAAGTAAAGTGGGACCATTGTAACAGTTTGTGTGATGTCCACAGGGGGAGCATGTGTCCATGTACGATGTAGTGCCTACTATGCGTCCTGTTATTCTAATGGGACCATCACTAAAGGGCTTAGAGGTGAGTCACACAATATATATATATACAAAAACAGAAAAAACACACACCTTTCCTAACACTGCACATTTCTGGACCGAGAATTTGGTTTCGTTTACTGTTATGCAAAGTTAAATCCCTTTGAATCCTCAGTACAAAAAACATGTAAAACAAATATTAGTATCCAATATGACCAATATTGCATTTTCTGCTTGTCTTCTTGGACTTGGTCAGAGATCTCCATTCAATAACAACAACCTAAAACAAAGCCATCACACCGTTTCAAACTCACTGTCTGTGACGTCCGTTTACAGTGATTGACAGGTCAAGCTGTGGGAGTTTGAGACGAACGTAAAGAGACGCAACATGGATCAGAAAGCACAATGAGGAGGTTGACAAGAATAGGCACATCCTATCAAAAATAATAGACTGTGTCAAATTCTGTGGTGCATTTATATCTAGTCATCATATTCATAGCCCCCCCAATTAATAACTAAATGTTCTAACTTTTATGCCAATATACACACATACTGATACGCTGACACTCACTACACCTCAGTGTGTACAACCCCCCCCCACACACACACACTTTATTTACTCCTTAATGGTATGAATCTTGTGTAAATATTGATTAACATTGTTTCTGTATAATGCAATCTATCACTTCCCTGCTGGGTGCCTCCAAAAAAAGATTATCAAAATAAAATAAAAAATAAAATAAACAAATACAAAATATATAAAACCATGCCCTTAAAGTGAGAGTGTCTTTTCCAGGTGACGGATATGATGCAAAAAGCACTGTTTGACTACTTAAAGCACCGATTTGAAGGCAGGTAGGTGTCGTCAGCGTCCTCACTCACCACCTCACCGTTCTTTATAGATTATTTATTGTGCGTTGACGCTTCCTGCTTTTTCAGAATAACAATCACTCGGGTCACAGCGGACATTTCTCTGGCGAAGAGATCCATCCTCAACAATCCTGGGAAAAAGGCCTTAATCGACCGAACCAATACACGCTCCAATTTAGGTGCAGCGCCTCAAAGCCTGGCAGCCGTTTGTGAAGCCAATCTCTGACTCTGACCTTGGTCTAAACTTCTCTCACCAAAGTTCCCTCTCCCTCAGTGCTTTCACAGCAACTTTTTAAACAAGAAAGACATAATAGTTATTTAGAGCTAGTATACAAGATTCCCTGTGTGTACTGTATATAAAAAAACATGTTATTTTCAAACAAAGGGGATAATTTAGTGTTGTGATTTAGAGTCCAAGAACAGTATATTAACAGATTATCTTAGATACAGTTTTATACGAATATGATAAAATAAAACAAAATGTAAAGAGTCTTAAAGTATACACATATAATGAGATATGCCGTTATTCTAATAAGTTTATTTGTATACTTAAGGAGTGAGCAGTCAAATGAAAAACCAACCCACCACTGTTACTACTGTTTTGATTTAGGGCTATACAAGAAGTGTCATTTTTGCAGATTTTTGTTTGTTTTGTGCGCAAATCTTCTTACGCACAAATGTGTGTACTCCAACAGCACCATATACAACATCATAAAACTGCTAGAACAACAGGACAGATACGTTAATTCGTGATTGGACTTTTCAAAGTTACCAATTCCTCAGAAACTATTCAAACACAAGAAATGCCAAAAAGCCATTGGTCCATTCAGAGCGGGATGACCAATGTCAATGTAAACGAACTGTCCATAAATGTCCTTAAATGTTCCCATACAAGTCATATTTTTACAGCGGTACCTAACTTTCAAACCACAATAATGGAGCTATGTAATACAATCCAGCAAACAGCTCCTAGTTCTAAAACATTTTGGTTATATCGCTTGTAGAACCAAAGTTTGTTGACTGCGGGTACCAACAGTCAATCCGCTCGCCGTGTGTTAATGACAATAATAATAATTTTGTTCAGATAAAGACTGTATGTTGTGGTCTGATTTGTGCAAGAACACAAGACTCCTGTTGGGACAAAACAGTTGGATGCTCCAGCTTTAATTTAGATAATGTTTTTCTTTTAAAGCTACTTACATTTATCCAAGTCATTTCTTACCCCGGGCTTAAAACCCCTGTGGTGGAACAGTTTCATTATTGCTGGTGGGAACATTTAGACTTTGTTTACTCCTGGTTTAGTCTGCAAATTGTCCTTATTACAGTTCACTCCTGTATTCATTATGGCAGAGAAGCGAATATTCAGAGAGCTGCATGACTTTCACTGTATGGAAATAAGGTTTATTGTCTGAATATTAACACTGTTTTTCTTCTTTTTCCTTCCTCAATGTCAAGATGCTGCTGGTAAGTTCAAGCTCCCCCCACGGGCTGCACGTTTAGACTTGTTTATGGCTTTATTTCCCTTCTCATATTGAATTCACGCTGTGTCACTGCAGCTCAGATCCAGGGGGAGGTGGAGCGTATATTTGAGTTAGCCCGTAGCATGCAGCTTGTGGTCCTGGACGCAGACACAGTCAACCATCCCATTCAAGTGACCAAGACATCACTGGCCCCTATCATGGTTTACGTCAAGATCTCATCCCCAAAGGTACGGGAATGGACAGAAAGGTGATGTCGGTAATTTTAACAGTGTTTCATTTTTAGAAGAATACATATTTGTGACCATTTCATCCTGAAGTGTTTGATTGTAGAGTTTTGCTGAAGGAGAATAGTTAGACCAATGGTGAGACTGCCTCAGCTGTCTAATAATGTCTCTTCATCTTTGTGTGTGTGTGTGTGTGTGTGTGTGTGTGTTCATGCATATGGGTGCCTTTGTGTCTGTGTGTGTTGCAGGTGTTGACCAGACTGATCAAGACGAGAGGGAAATCACAAAGCAAACACCTCAATGTCCAGTTAGTGGCAGCAGATAAACTGGCCCAGTGTCCGACTGTGAGTGCCCCCTCCTGGACACTTTTTACATTACACCCTATTATCAGCGTCGTTATTTACTATGATTTTTTTGCCAGTATGCAGGCTTGTTCACCAACGCACAGAGGTGTGAGAGTTATTTTTAACAAATGTTTACTGCATTTTCTTTCATACAGTTCACACCGTTGAACTTAGAAATATTACATACTTTAGAAACAAAATAGAAATTTACACACAATCATGCACACCACTTTGGCCTGCTGGCGAACAACCCGGTGGACTGTAACTTATTATACCTTATTATTATCACTTTACTCTGCTTTGTCGGCAAACCGGAAGTGGCGATCTCAAAGGCATAAAACCATACATTTCAAATATTAATCTATATGAATTATTATCCCTCTTCGAACTTAACTAATAGTGATATAATAGCTAGAAAAAATATATAAAAATGTCCAAAAATAAAATAAATCAAAGAACTTTTACGATGGAAAAATGCACACTAGCGCCGCCTTGTGACGAAACAAAAAAACTTTATCATTATCAACAGTTACAACTTGTGCATTAAGATAATTTGAAGTGGTGGGTAGAGTTGACTTGAGTTGAATTAATTCAGATTCTACTACGTTAGGTTAGGTAATGGTCAAAATGTGGTGTTTTAAATGGATAGATCAGACAAGTTCACTGAAGGATGCAAGGAGAAGAGCCCCATTAAAAAGAATCATGGTATTTTTGCTAACATTAATTTAAAATAAATTCCCCGGTAGACTTAACTAAAAGTAAACTCAAGTAATAATCAGTATAGCGTTCCAATAAAATATCCTTTATTAGTTGGAAAGTATGATGTCCACAAACTATACACTGTATGAGATTAAACTGTAGTGGTGTACATTTCAAACTCGAATTTGGTACTAGAAAATAATACTCAATGTATCTGATGAACTTTTTCTATCAGAGGAAGAGCTTCATCCAATTGAAGTATTGTTCTTTTGTATTGTAATGTTCTAAACACATTAACACAAAGATGTCTGTTATTTTTATGGACGGATGAGACTTATTGTGTTTTTATGCTTGCCTTCATATTTATGTTTAATTTTTGGTATATGGATCAATATAAACCGAAGAAATTGTTCTGATTTTCAGTCTGATTCTGACCATATTTGGCATAAACACTTTCTCCTGGACTGGAGAGAGTGAGTGAATGAAGTAATACCTTTCAATATTACCTGGTTTTCTAGGATAAGATAAACATAGCTGAGAATAGACAAACGTAAAAGGAAAATACCGAGGTAAAGTTCTATATTATTTGAATGGACTTCAGCCAATAACTTCTTCCTAAAAACTTTTTTTTTTTTTTTTCTATATTATTCCTTTATCAATGATATTTCTTTGATAACCACATTTCTGGGTTCAATAACATCCCCTTTCTCCTTCTAATGACTCTCACATGCTTTGATGTGTGGTGGCAGGAAATGTTTGATGTGATCCTGGATGAGAACCAGCTGACAGACGCCTGTGAGCATATCGCAGACTTTCTGGAGTCGTATTGGAGAGCAACACATCCTCCGGAGATGGAGCCGGCCAACGCTTTGGTGGCCACCCTGGCAGAGAACACCCTGCCCACCAGCCCCACAGTCGTGCCGGTACAAGCAGAATTTACCATTGTGTGTGCATGTGCAGAGGCGTAGGAAGGGTTCAGTAGCCTAAGCTGGATTTCATCAGGGGGTGCTATATACACTGGGTTGCAAAAGTACCAATAAAAGTTGAACCTTTGCACATTTTGCACACATAAAGCACAATAACACACACAAAACAGCATAGAAAAATTGTTAAAAAATGACAGACTTCAGAGCTTTTTAAGAGTTTCTCAGAGCCTTTTCAGAGATTTTCCAGAGCTCTCTCAGTTTTCCAGGCAGAATGATAACGGGGAAGGCATTATAAAATAGGACAATCTGCATCACAGTAAAGACGCCCAACTCACAGGTGTTAAAATCCAAACAACAGAGAGATGTGAAGTCGCCATGACCTTGGTTATTGTGTCTGCGTTTATGCTTTTGTGGACAATGACCTGGAAGAAAAGGACAAAGTCTGGGATTGTGTCTTGAATTCAGACTGAAGACTGAATTAACTTGTCGATGGTAGACAGCACCAACAACGATGATATTATACAGCATGGAGGAATGGAGACCGTCCAATGCCTAAGGTCTGAGGGGAGAATGGTCACTAAACTTACCAGACAGGTCAGGGATGAAGTTGGGGAGAGGTTTAAAGCATGGTTTCGGGTCATACAAACACACATGCTTTGAACAACTCTTGTCACACAGGAATGGAAACAGTATGGTACAACTGCAAATCTACCAATACCCTGCCACCTGTCCTAACCAACAACTCAAACAAGGACAACACTGATCAAACATAGAGAATAGAAGAAAACAGTGCAAAATGTTAAGTAGCTTTAGACATATTTAGTTATTCCTCTGAAATCTCCTGATATTCAAATATACAGTATTTATCTGATCTCTGGTCACAAACGCAGACAGATTGTCCAACCATGTTTGTCTCATCTCACGTTCATGTCATCTTTCCTCATATTGCCATCTACTGGACAGATAAAGAAGTGATGGAGTGGTGAGTCCAATGTTTGTGGTTCTAGTAGTGATATTAGAAATAAAACTAGTAACAGCCTGAATAGAAATCCTTACAGCTATGTCCTTGTTTAGTCATAGTGCCTAAAGAGAGTGACGGGTCTGGTGGTTTGGTGTATCTTTTATAGATCCAACATAGATCCAATTATAGATTCAATCCAATATTGATTCTAAACTGTCATTGATCCATACTGTCCCTAGACATAGTAATATTGTTTGCTTTATTGAGAACATATTGTAAAGTGAGCTTAAGTTCTATTCGCAATATTTGATTTGTTTTCCATTTTCATTTGCAACTTTATTGTCATTACAATGTCCAAAACAACGCAACAAAATGCAGTTTACCGTCTAGCCAGTGGTTTTCGTGTATGATTTGGATTTCAGCTCCATTTTGGAAATGTTTTTCCGATTTAAATCTCATAAAGCAGTTTGACTATGCTCATTTAGCTAATCTGCCAATAAGCTGGTTAATTCTGTTAATTCATTCAAAATTAAGAGATGGCTCTCTCCACTCTAAACTATACCAATGTGTTACATTTTGGTCAATGACACAAAAAAGTCCCGAAATGTCCGTGGCCGTTACTCAGATCCATGCCGTTACTGCTGAATGATCACAGCACCCACTCTTGTTCGTTCCCTGCTTGTTTGTCCAGTGGAGGGGGCACTACCCAAACACAGATTTGTTCATGCCCGTACTATTAACAGCGCTCCAAGACAGCCGTTTTGGACGTAACTAAAGTGGACACAATTGTTACGTCCAAAACGCCCAGTTTGTCTGCAGTTATTGAAAAATATTTTGTTGCATAATGCAAAATCTATAATTAGGGATTGATTCTAATTTTATCCACAACCACTAGCCATTAAATGGTCTTTTCTGTCCTGTTCATTCTTCCATTTACAAAGCCTCCAACATGTAACAATTAAGTCCCAAAGTTCAATAATTTTTTTTTGAAAGCTATCCATTTTTTTGTTAAATGAATTTATCTGCCCTTCTGAGATTATACTATGTATATCTATAAGCTACATAGTGTAAAAAAAAACAGTACAACTGTACAGTTTAACGTGGAGTGAGCCACATCCTTTATTCATTCCACATTGGGGAAATTTCAGTGTTGCATCACTAGTTACAGACAGTAGGAGTAAAGAGCACACAGCACAAGAAAGAGAACTGAATGAAGTAAGTAAGTAAGTAAGTAAGCTTTATTTATATACCGCCTTTCACAGACCAGAGTCACAAAGCGGTTTACAATTGTTATATATGAATGAATGAAAACCATAGACTGTATATATTAACGGACAGAGTCACGCCTATATCCGGCGTTCTTACTAATGGGCCAAAAAATGTGTTCTACTGGAGCAATCCAAAATGGCCGCGAGTGGTCCCGCCCACAAGAAAATTGTGAAAAAACGCATCTGCGCATGCGTCAGCCGGTGAGAGCGGTCCAAAAAAATCCACCCCCCTCAGCATTGACACACATGTGGAACGGAGCTTTGGGCCAAGAGCCAACTTTTGGTCCATCCTGTAAAGACGTTTTCGAGAGGTCTGCCAATGCTACATGTTAGCATTGGCTAATTCTACTTCTGGGTCCACCCCCATCGGCCCTGGGTGGTATTGCAAGCATGTCAGCGCACGTCATTTTGGCCACTTTTGAGCCGAAACCCGCCCCCACTGATGATAACGCTGTACTAAAATAAAAAATAAAATTTGATAAAATCTCTAACTCTTTCATAAAAAATAAGCTGTACAAAGTCTCTATACATCTGAAGAAGCAAGAATTAAGTTCACAAACCCCTGACCCCTGATAATATATATATGGATGTCTGTAGATGACAGCAGCATGAGGGTCTGGGACGAAGTGACACAGTAAAGTAACAGTAACCCATGTTGTTCTATATTGAACATTGTTGCATTATTCATAACCCCATCTTCACGTCAGTTCTGTTTTGTTATTTTGTCCTTATTTGCCAGAACGAGCAGAAGAACAAGAAACCCATTGCCTCCAAGAGGAAAGGATCTCGGGACCATCACTCGGAGCAGGACCCTGCCCCGTCGGCCTCCGGAGCTCCTCACCACAACCCAAAGCACGAGCCTGCCCACCGGCCCAGCGAGGAGGAGGAGCGACTACTGCGGTCCGAACCAAAGAGACCCTCACACACTCATCACCACCACCACCACCACAAACGAACCGAGCACCACGGCACCAGCCAAGCAACGATGCCGGGGCGTACGTCTCCGGAAACGCAGAGACTACACAGAAGGCAACCGCCCGAAAACAGAGAACATCAAGAAGAAGCGGAGGAAAGACTTGCATCGGAATCTCACCACCACAATCACTCGCGGCATCACCAAAGTCGGAGGGGAGGGGAGGAGTACGAGCACAACGAACGCAACCGGACTCACAGGCACCATCACCAGCAGCAGGAGCAGCAGCAGCAGCAGCAGCAGCAGCAGCAGAAGCAGCAGCACTCAGGCATGCAGACAAGGAGACAGCACAGCACCGAAATGCAGCAACATCATCACCACCACCACCACCGGGAGCGGGACCACCAGCCGGACCGGGACAGGGACCGCGACCGAGACCGCGACCGGGACCGGGACAGGGACCGGGACAGGGACCGGTGCAAGGACAGAGACCGGGAGGTGAGGGTGAGGGAAAGGGAGGCCCGGCAGTATCACAGGGAGCCGTACACGCACCGATAAAGAATTTTGTTATTCACAAACAAACCAGTGATTTATAGAACTGAGAGTGGGTCAAAAAAGAGCAAAAATACTAATAATCTTTTTGAGTGGGAGCACAGAACCTGTTGGATTTTAATCCCGAAATATTAACCCTTTAGGCGCCATTGTAGCAGAATGTATAATTTATTTGGTTTATTTAAATAGGGACGGATACGTAGGGCATTGACAGACTGTAGTAGAGCTCCCCCGATGCATGTATGACAATTAGAAGTAGAGAAACACATGTTATAACATATCAGAACACTTTCTATACAGCGACTTGGCTCCCCACAAAGGTTACCCTACAATTTTCTTTAATCTATTTTTGTAATTGGTTTTAATTGCCATCTTTCTCCTAAAGGGCCTAAAGGGTTACAATATTTTCACAATTTTGTATTTATTTAAAGCTAAGGTACCTAACTCTGTATTTAATAAACGCTTCAATAGAAAAAGTCTTAAGTATAAGTTAAAACCATCAATTTTCTTCTGCTTATCCGTTGCCGGGTTTATTTATTAGTTTTACTTGAATAGGGACGGTACACATTAACCAACATTGTCAGTATTAGCAAACAGCTAGTTTCCAACTGTAGTTTCAAGGCAAGGTGTAAAATGCCATAAAAGTACACTGCAAACATTACAATATGAAATTAATTAGTTAAAACATTACAATTCAAAACAGGTCATTAAAACATATAAATGAGTGGTTACATTCTTGATTGTCCAATAACCAGGTTTTTAACGTATGTTTAAAAGTCCTGAGTGTGGTGCTCTTTTGTACATGGACTGGTATCGTGTTCCAGAACTTAACAGCGCGACACTGAGAAAGCTGATTGGCTAAAGGAACTCTTTCTCAGTGGGATGACAAGATTATTAGAGGCAGCAGATCTGGTGTTTCTGCTGCTCTGCTTTAAAAAATAGATTGTGGGGGTTGGGCCAGGCCATTTAAGATTTAAAAAACTCTTACCAAGTTTTCCCAGCTGAGCATCTTATTTATTATAAGATGCTGCAGTGGTGCCGAAAAGGTTTCCTTTCCAGGACTTTTAACGCCTGTTTGTAGACAGACTGGATGGTTGTTTTGCTGCCCTGTGACCAGCTGGTGACACACTAAGTTAGATGTGGCATTATCATAGAATGAAAAAATAAAATGGCAGATTCCTGGTTTAAGTAACTTCTGATGAATTTAGAATTTGCTACATTTAACTTTACGATTTGGTTAAGTCTATGACAACACCCAGATATGTGTATTCTGTCACTACATTTATTGTGTTACCAGCAATAAATACACTGGGGTTTGGTGAATTTAAATTTTGTTTAGAAAAAACAAATTCAAGTGCAGGCACGACCTAAGGAGCCATTCTGAAATGTGGACCATGTTTCAGTCCATTTTTGGGCTGCTTCCGCCTTGCCTTTACCATGTACATAGATTACAGTGTTGTCTGCATACATCTGAATCTCATATCCAGAGCACACAGATGGTGAGTCATTTATGTAAATGCTGAACAGGAGCGGTTTTGGACACTCCAAAGTTATAAATGAGAAATTGGCCTTTTTCTGCTGCAAATCTTGCAACTACATGCAATCTACTATAGACTCCTTCTCTACTATAGACTTTACTAGAAGAAGGAAAAACACCCACTACATGCTAGATGTGACATGTACGTTTCTCCTGTGTGAGATCAATAAAGTCTATCTTATGTGTGGAGTTGGGGTCTAAAGCTTCTTTGCCGATAAATCCATAATCAGGGGCTGGTAACTTGCCTCCATAAGTCAGTCTCAAACATCAAGAACCACTAGAGAACAGAACAGAACTGAAACGCACTGGTTTGTTTTATACCAGAAACATTAGTAATGATCATAAATGTGTTTTGCTTGGTCACACTTTTTCAGTATTTTTGTCCTATTCTATCCTGTTGTCGTTTGGTTACGTTACATTTTTCCCCAAACTCGGTCACAGATTTATTTACAGTTCACTTTCAGGGCTGCTCCCGGATAGCAAAGAACGTTCGCTTATGAAAGTGAAGTAGCGGATCCCTCAGTCAGAGGAGAAAATCATCGCTTCTCACTTTCAGTAAACCTTGGTAATATTGGTCCATTTTGACATCTGTGCAAAAGTAATATAATGTTCTAATTTTATGTAACCAGGATTCATCTTGTGTGGCACTCTCCTCTCCCCTCAAATGACATAATATATGTGATTTATTTTCCACATTGAAGAAAGTATTTTTCTAGACTGTAAAAGGAGGTTCAAAGGTGCTTCCTATTTTTATACATGGTGTAACAGGAACTATATGGACTTGCATTTATTCAGAAGCATGACTACTTTTGGTGACTCTTTTGGCTACATGCTGGATACTCTATGCATTTTATTGTGTATTGCTTTATTACTCTCTCTATGCATCTGTACATACGTCATGAATGCCTTGTTAGTCATCTATGCTGGAGTCGGATTGTCTGTGTGTGACTGCAATCAAATGTCCTTTGGTTTTTTTGGTTTTGAATGAGATTTAACTGAGGTTGAGAATTAAACTTTTGGAAATGCACAGTGTTTAGAGTGTCATTATGAAATCTTTATTTTCAAATAAGATTTTCAGTAACTTTTTTCAAGTTCTTTGAACCCTGTGGCCTCTATAGCAATGCAACCCATGTATGCATTTTGAATTTGTTGGAGATAAGTGTCTTTATTTTGCTTTATTAAGTAATGCATTATTTTGATGAGTACTTTTAGAGATGGGAGGCATGTATATCATTAAAATTAATTTGAAATAAGCCCCTTCATAAAATAATAAAATCAAAATAATGAACGCTCTTTTGGACGCTGCACTTCACATGGCAGTATTCTTTCACTCCATACACAGTGGTGATGAACTACTACTGTGGCCATAGCTGCCATGGGACACACTGACAGAAACAAGGTAACCACTGTATGCCATTGGCCCCTTTAAGCGGCACACACCACACTCATTCTTGCCTAAGGCCAGACAAGCCGCAGCCGCCCCACTGTGGCACCTGGTGTTCCCAGAGGTCTCCCATCACAGTACTAACCAGGCCCTGCGCTGCTTCGCTTCAGAGGTCCTACAGGATTTGGCTTTCACATTTAAGTGGCGTAATGTTTTTATAGTCAGTTAAAACAGTCGTTGGCTTTGTTTTGGGTGTCTCTGCAGTCTGGGGGTCTCTGCTTAGTCTGCTGCCGATCCAGTAACGGATAAAGCAAAAGAAAATAGGAAATTTTTCTCAAAGTGCAATAAGAATGATAATACATCGGTTTTACATAGCCCTTTTATGGACACTTCACTCCATACATCGTGGTGATTAACTACTACTGTAGCCACAGCTGCCCTGGGGCCAGAAGGGCACCAACAGCGATTCACGCACACAACAGACTCCTTCTAGGTAATGTCCCAGAGGTCTCCCATCACAGTACTAACCAGACCCTGCTCTGCTTAGCTTCAGAGGTTTGAGTAGGTATCTGGCTAGTATTTGTTAACAATAATGTTGACCAAATCACATTTCTCCTAAAGTGAAGTATTACTATAATGTAACAAGAAAGCAAAGAATGGACTTTTAATAAAAAACACAAATATAAAACAAGACGAACAAGCACAGCATAGTTCATATGAATGCATTAAACTAAGACATGTATTTACATCATGTATTGATCTAACACGTTATTATTCTTCGTCCAAGATGTGTTTTTAAAAACAAATTACGATTCGGTTTTAACACACTTGTAATTGTCTAATGTATCTCCAAACAAATGCTACAATCAATATTACTGTAAGTCACAAATATATTACTTTTGACAATAATGATAATTTCAGAAGGGGAAAATTAATATTAGCCTTGTTTAATTAATATTAGCCTTGTTTAATTAATATTAGCCTTATTTAGTTCAGCTTGGAATCAGTGTCACACCGCTCCCTCAACATAAACGCTTTCATAAATTAGTTAACTGACCATAACTGTAACCATTATATCTGAGTAAATATGATCACAGACTTATGATTGGCTCTGGCTCTGTGTTATTTTCGGCACTAGTTTCCGTTTCTTCCTCCGCCTCCACTTTCTCTATGAGGGTCCGAGTGTCGACTACGTCCGGCTGTGAGCGCTCGGTGTACAGCGGGTTTTCAAATGTGGGGAAAGAGTGCGGAGACCTCTTGTAGAAGACGAATGCAGCCGCGACCAAAGCAGAAATGATCATGATGACCAAGACCACGACCAGGGCGGCACGAGTGCGGCTGCGCTGCTGCTCCGGGGGCCCCAGTGGTTCTGTGTGCGAGGGGAGAAGAAGATCCCATAAGGAGACATTCAGGTGACCACCAGAAGCCCGTAGAGACAAGACAGACAGATACATAATACCATAAATAGTAAAATAACAAAAATAGGTTCTGGTGCGAATCTGGGGCAATCTTAAAGGGGACAGGCAGAATAAGATTATTTTCTTCATTCTGCGACTTTTCATTAAAGTCATTAAAAGTAACACCACCACAAAACCACAAAAACAGAAATGCATGTATATATGAACCATTGATTTGTTAGTTGTGGCTATAAACAGTGTTGGATGAGTACTCTAAACTATAAGATACATATATTTCTAGTTACTGAAGTTCATAGCTGTGTTTAAGTTAAGATATACTTTGTATCAAAAACACACACTCCAGATAATGTCCAGATAACTCACCTGCTTTTCCATCATCTCTGGGAATCACTGCAAAAAGAAACAATGAGACAGATTTAGGAAAATGCTCTTCAACCATGCATCAATTCTCATTTTATCTATTGCTGGGTTGGAGGGGCATTAATCTAAGCAGAGCTGCCCAGATATCTGTACCCAGGCCCTCTTCCTCCAGCTCATCCCAGGCCAGCTGAGGACACAGTCCCTCCAGCGTGTCCTGGGTCTTCCCTGAGGTCTCCTCACAGTGCAACATGCGCCCAGGGAGGCGTCCACATCTAGAGGAGTCAACTCAACTGGCTCCTCTAGATGTGGAGAAGCAGCGGCTCTACTCCGAGCTCCTCCCATGTAACTGAGCTCCTCACCATATCTCTAAGGGAGCACCCAGTCTCAAAGCTTTTGACCATAAGCTGATCACTACATGCCGCTACAGTGTTCTACAGCCATCATATAATTAGATTATTAAGACTGTGACATCACATGGAAGCCAGGGCATAACCCTGGAGCCTGGGGAACAACGTCCCTGTGGACTCACCACCAGCAGAGGGCGTCATGAAGCTTGAGTACTGAGAGAATTCTTATATTTTTCAAAACACCACGTTAACTACATGTCACAAAAAATAAACCAAAATGATATGGTTTCAGGCCCTACCTTTAGCAGCCTCACAGATGTAGGCGCGGTCGTGCCACCTCCGGCCTGTGCCCCATTTTCCATCCACTGAGCGAATCTCCCCAAAGTCGGAGCGAGGCTCATCATTTCCCCAGTTTGTGTAATCCATTACTGTCTTATCCAGCCACTGCCACGTCCCTGAAACAGGTATTTCCATCTGTCATCATCTAAGTCCATGTAATGTTGTTATCGAAGAAAACTAAATATGTCAAGGTCATTAGATCATTCCAACTAATCAATGATGTTGTGCTTGAATCATCAGTCTGAGGAAACATTCAAAGGAGAGCAGAGTGGAAACAGTTTCCGAGCTAAAATTTTTAGTTTGAATCTGTAATCAAAAAGGTTCATCTCATGATGCATAATAACTGAAAATGATATAAATGAGTCTCTTTGTACCTTTGTGACTTTTGAAGAGGCCGACCCAGAAGGAGTTGTGCGCGTCTTTAAACTTTTCGACATTTCCTTGGATAAACTGTTGCTTGTCTGGATCTTCAATACTGGCCAACTGCCCTCCTGCAGCAGGGAAAAGTGGATTATTAACAAATAACATTGATCTCTCATGACTCGTGGAGCTTTGTTGACATCACAGACTTAATGATAATAACAATCATCATCACCATCATCATAATTATAATAATACTCATAAAAATACTACTAATAAAAATGTAACTCTCATAATAAAAAAAATAGTACAAAAAATCATAATTATGATGATGATAATAAAATATGAACACTCATAATAATAATCATCATCATTATCAAAACAATGATAATACTAATTATGATACTAATAATGATAACACTAGTGATTACACTAATAATACTACTAATGTTATATAACACAATAATAATACTAATAATAATACAAATAATACAAATCATAATCGTAATGATATTTTGATATTGGTGATTGATGTTTGGTTTTGTCACCGTGTCGGACGCAGCTGCTGGCGGCGTCGGCCCACTCCACGTCCTCAGGCACAAACAGGTAACAGTGGCTTTTGAATGGGATCCAAGAGTAACTCTGGCGGTAATCCACCTCTGTCTCCTCAGGACACACTCCTGGGTACACGGATGACAGTGTGGGGGCCACATCTGCAACAACACAAAATAATCACATATGAAGGTTTTTGTGAGAGAAGATGTCAACTTGTTCAATAGTAGAACGCAAGTAAAGAAAGTAAAGCTACCACATCACTTTTGACACTAGGACAGTGGAGTCAAACTGGTTCCAGTGTGGCTGCAGGTTTTCATTCCCACCAAACAGGAGCACACCAGACTCCACCCATTGAGGACCGACTTGACACCCCCCCGCTACAATAACACAACTAGGTGGATGGAGTCTGCTGAGGATGTTTAACTACATCAGGACAATTTCTTTAAACATGTGAACTTTTCATACTATGGAATGGTTTCAAACTAAACTAATTCAATTGTTTGAGTGACCCAAATAAGCCCAGACCTAGATTTAACTGAAAATCTGTGGAAAACCGCTGATCACAACATCTAATTTGACAGAGCTTAAGTGTTTTAGTGAGGACAAAAAGGAAAAAAACGTAACTATGCGCAGAGCGTTCAGAGTCAAACCTCAAAAAGTCAAACCCCAAAAGCTTTTACCGGTATTAACAGTGTTTATTCTGGTTATATCCTCGTTACTAAAGTACAATATAAACATTTGTAAAAAAAAAAACAAAAACAAAAAAACAGCTGACTACAGGCTATACTACAGTAGTGTACTATTCTTGAGCCAAATGCAATTATAGCTTCAGAGTTTACTTGACTTGACTTTATTTAATCTTATTATTTTTTGTATTTTAATTAGTTGTATTATCTATTATCTTAAATAATAGATCATGTTTGATTTGTGCAATCTGAGTGCTCTTATTTCCTCCTTTTTTATATTCTGCCTTAATTACATTGAATTTTCCCCACTGTGGAACGAATAAAGGTCTATTGCATCTTCTTATAAATGTACTGTTTTGAGGCCCCATCATAAAGCTAATCCAATTTCCTTTTCAGAAGATTGAAAAGACTGCTGTAATTGGACAAATTATGAACTCATGTTGAATGACTGTGTGCGGAAGCCCCACTTTTCTTAATTTTTTTGTAATAAGAAAATCATGTATCATTTAGCTTTCACTTGGCTGTTGTCCGTTACTTTGTTGTGGTCTTGTTTGGCGGCAGTACCTGTGCTCTGCAGACACACACTGTTCATAGAGGCGTTGCAGAAGGCTGTTTTCCACTTCCCATCCACATCCACGTAAACACAGGGCTTATCCTGCTGAGGATCCCCCGGCCCCCAATTCACAAAGCTCAAGTGCCAGCCGTCAATGAACCGGTAATATCCATCCGTCTGTAAGAAAGGACCAGCCACACTAACATCAGGAATATGTAACTTCGCCCCTATAAAGCTCCAAATAACAAACTCCTGGTTCAGATAAATCTCTATTTATGGTTGGTCGAAAATGACATGATTAAGATACAATCTTTCATAGACCATGTTGGACTGACCACTCCTTTGTTGAGCCCAATCCACAGAGGAGCTTTCTCAGTGAAGGCTATCAGCTCCACAAAGGCCTGGGTCCACTCATTGCGCACACTGGCCAGACTCCCCCGGTCTTTCTCACAGTTGGTTTTGGCCGTTTCCCAGGTCAGGTTTTGTGTCACCAGTTTGATGCTGTCATTTGCCAGAGGTATATACGTGTTTGGTAAGATGAGGTTGGTCTGGGGCACTGCGTTTTTATCTGTGGAAGGAACAAAATAAGAATTATGGTTCAAAGTCGTTAGTGGTCTTTGGATCTTGCACTTGAAGTATTCCTTGGTTAATGTTTGTGGATGATTGAATATTACACATATATATTGACATTAAATTATCTATAAGTAATTGAAGTACTGTGTATCTGTCATGGTGTGGATTTTGTTATTTAGCGCTGGTTTTATTTGGACGTCACTAGTTGTGGTTTTGTTTTAGTTTTACTTCCTGTCCCCTGTTTGTTTGTCTGCTCTGCGCTCCTGTGTTTCATCTGTGTCTATCTGTGTCTATATGCATGTTTGTATATGCATGTTTGTACTGTTTATTATGTATATAAATAATATACAGTATATTTGATTTGGGCTTTATCTGACACCAAGCTCTAACAATTTTTTATCAGCATGCTTGAAGTCTTGTATTAAACGCAAAGCTGAAATCCATGAATATAATTCTGTGACGAAGCGTCCTCCTAAAAGTGAAAATATAGGTGAGCAGTAGTAAAACTAGAGCGTCATCAGAGCTTCTACTACCTGGTCTAGAGTGTTGGGCAAGTTACTTTTAAAACGTAAATAGTTACAAATTACTAGTTACTGCTGCCTGAAAGTAACTGTAAATGTTACATTACTTTTGGATTACTTAGTGTCACAAAAAAGAACAGAATCATGTTTGTACGTTTGCTTTATAAAAGTAATTTAAATACTCAAACTGCAGAACATTAACATGAAAGTAAACGTAGCCAGGGCAAATGCTGTGGCACTTCACGAGAAAGTTTTGACATGTTTTAAAAGGTTGGAGGATGAGTTGGCTGCATATAGTTAAAATGGTGCATATCTTTTCCACTGGTAAAACAAAACAATCTCATGTGCTCACCGTGACATAAGCACCAGCAGCACACTCTCTACGGTTCTCTCCAGTGTTCCCCGTTTGCTCGGCGCTAACTGGGGTTTGATGTGGAGTTGTTTTTCTTCCCACACAGTTTACAGAGGACGCTGATACTTTTGTCACGGCCTCGTACTCAAAGAAATTCCAGGAAATGCACCGTGGTCTTCCTCACTGTCATGCTTTATGTTCATCACGTGGCAGGGGTCGCATCACTCATACGTCATTCATATGTCATGAGACAAAAATCAGTTTTGTAACTCATTGTAACGCTGCTTGCTTAGAAGAAAGTAAATGTAATCACATAACTTTTGTGCAGATTTAATCCCTTACTTTACTCGCAATTCAGAAAAAGAAATTGGATTACAGCAGTGCTTCTCAATTATTTTCTGCCAGGCCCCCCTTAGGGAGAAGAAAACAGTGTTTGTTCTTAATTATGCAAAAAAAATAATAAAAAAACAAGACTTCTATTGTGGTTTGTTTTGTATTAGTTATTCATTTTACGTTTGGGCACTACAAACATCCATGATGAATGCAAGGGAAATTTAGGTACCCCAGCTTTAATTTAGTGAGTTTTAGTTTCAGGGCTACAGGAGACACGGGGGACATGGATACTTCCAGGGGCTCACATTCTGTAGTTCAGCTGTATTTCTCTCAGCGGTGTATTTATCACATCCACAGGTTGCGCAAAGATCCGCACCTGTCCTGTCCGCGCTGGTCACATGACCTCGCTTTGGCCGCGCTGCTGTTATCAAAGCAGCTCTACAGGCGCTGGACGCGGGAACTGCTGTCATGCTACCAGATTGTAGCTAAACAGCTAGTTTCCATCTGCAGTCCCTGTCTTATCTCTTACTCACCAAGATCTCGAAGACAAACAAATCCATTGCTGTCGTTGCAGGACTTCATGAACCATTTCCCAAAGCTCTGTGGACTGCTGCTCAGGACGACACAGTCCTCCTGTTCACAGACACCATTTCACATCAGAGCCAACCACGTGTGTTGAAACAAAAGTTAAGACAAATACTGTACCTCATTCCATCGTTGGTAGAAGCTCCCTTGTCTGCGTTTAGTTTTCTGAATGAGTACAATGGGTTTATTTGAAGAGAAGATATATTATTAGAAATCATACACTTACTGTAACTACTACATTAAAAGCAGGCATTATTCCAAACAATAGAAAGATAGTTATGTGAAGTGTTGGACTTATTTGTTTATTTTATTTTTTCATTTTAGTTGAAATTTTAGATGAGAATCTACTTTATTTTAAGTTGGACAACGTTTAAGTTATGGACGAATCACGACTACAGGGAGAATTCATCACATAATAATCACATGGGTCATTATCATGAGTCGCATGGTATCGAGGTTTTATCTTTGAGTCAACATACCGCATAGCCCCAGTTGGTGTATTTCCGAGCTTTCCCATCTGTCCAGAAATATTCTTCGTGTTTGATACTGTTTAAACCGATCCAAAGGTCTGTGGATGTGGCTTCGGCCATTCTGGTAGTCAGGAAAACTGCAAAAATATTTTTTTTATTTGACTGTCAAAGAATTTGTCATTATTTGGTCATTATTGGCACTTTAGGTACTGATTATCCATTCATCCCTCTATTCAGGCGTCCAAGCAGAGGCACCCAGTCTTCCCTATATCCATGCACACCCTACTCCAGGTCTTCACCCTATCTAACATTTATGGACATCTGCTCTTTATGGAACAATACCTTTTATTTCTTGTGTTTGAACTATTTGATTCTCTGATCAGTTTTGGCAAATTCAATGGTTGGGTAAAGTCCTCCGAGATAACTACTGTTGTAATTTAGGGCTATACAAGAATAAATTAAATTGAATTGAACTCTGCAGAGGAATCATCTCATAGATATACAGTAATGTGCCCATCATTTTCAGTATAACACATCCACTTTCCTTCTCTTTAGTTAAAAACATTATCAAACCTTGCACAAATCTTGATGGGATAGAGGCGAGATTTCCTCCCATAGTGATGCACTGTTTTCTTGCTTCTTCCCATGAGGCTTTCCTGTTGTTTATGATGCTGTAACACTGCATATACACGTAATCATTGTCACACAGTCATCACAATCGTCATGTTGTTTGTGACAGTAATAACAAACCTTATTGTTGAACTGCATCCATTTGAGCGGACAGCCGCCGATGGGAGGAGTCGTTGGAGCCACAGTTGTGTTGACTGGAGCAGACGAGCTTCGTTTGCATATTGATTTCATCTCCTCTCCACAGTTACCGTTACTCCAATAACCTTAAAGTATATTTCTGTTACACAGCGTTTTTAACACCATTACAATTCCAGTAAGTGGCCAGTTACTCACCCATGTAATAGGTCATAAAGACACAGTTTTCATCAATAACATTTTCTTTTGGTTGATTTTGATCCCAGCTTAGAAATTCCACAGGGGTGTTGCTCATCCACCTTCAAACAATCAAATTTAATGTGATTTTAAGGCACAACAAATACACAATATCGATATATGATTTTTTTGTTTACATACCAAAATGAGTTGTCAAGATCCACCGAAAGCCCAATATAATAACGACTGTAAGTTCTAGAAATCTGATGAAAAAAGCAAAATGAGACTTAGGGCCTGCTCACACAAGCAAGGCAAGTATATTTGAAAAGGAAACGAAAATCCTTCAGTTGTATGTACAGCTAAACAGACCGGTTTTTACCCTGGATTTGAACATTGTCAAAGTAGAAGCCTGTCTCACATTATAAGGAAAACTGTGCAAAATTGTAACTGCATAAATCTTAAATGCGTCCCCATGTTTAGTCCTGACTCTGGGCACCAACAGGAGGTCTGTCCCTGTGCTCCTCAGAGTCCGAGATGCCGCAAAGCCATGGAACAGCGCTTGTGTTCCCTGAGCCGCAGGAAGCGAGTGCAGACCTGAGCACAGGGCTTTTGAACTGTTCTGTAGCACAATTGTTGAGCAACTGACCTGCACTCACACTTGGCATTCGTACATATTGATGCACTGAGGCACATATGATATAAGATTATGATTCTGCTGCCGAGTTTTTGCAAAGCTACTTTTATTTTGTGTGACAGTGCTGGTGGCTTCACGGGGCCTAAACCTTTTAGTAAGAGGGCCACTTTAGTTCACCAGGCTTGTCCAGGGGCAGACTATAAAACCTTTTTGGCTGGAATTAGGCTGTTCTGAGTTTTAAAATGATGTGTCAAAAGTGAGCATATACAAACAATGTTAACCACTAGATTCTAAAGGTTTTGAGCTTTCTTCATGTTTAAAGCTTATACGGTTCTTTAACAAGACATGCAGGTTGTATAATACTACGAATCTCATGAGCCTTAAGTCAACTCAAATTTATCCTAAATCAAGAGTTGTTTACCTGTTTCCAAAGAAACATGTTCTCGGCCCGGCTGGTGATGGTGACCAGGTCTCCATGTTTCTGCTGACAGAAGCTGCGCGCCTCCTCCATGGCCAGTGGTGCTTTGTTAATGTAATATTGATTCCCTTTCCACTCCATCCAGCCGTCCGCTGTCGTGTTGAATTCTGAAAGAATGAGTTTCTGGCACCATCATTTCACCACTCACTGCTTTCTCATCATCAAAATAATAATAATGATCATATACCTAATACCTAATCATTCTTACCTGGAGCAGTGGCATTTGGAGGTGGTTTTGGAGTGACCCCTTAAATAATAGGAAGTAATTTATTTTAGATATAAAAACATGATGATTTGTAATATTTCAATGTTACAAAACAATGTTGTTTGCCAAAAGTCTGTGAGTGTGTTAATAGAAAAGATGGTGGCTCTATATCCTAAAAACTTGCCCATTAATCTAACAACATAAAGGCCAGGCAAGGTACCTTTATTTGTATATCCCAATTCATACACAAGCCAACTCATAGTGCTTTACAAAACAAGAAACTATTTATTCACAGATTTTAGATTTGGTAAAGCCAGAGATTTTACACTTGCTTCCTGGTTTTACTTTCTTTGATCTATTGTGAACTACCTGGTTGATACAATACTGTCATTTATGCCCATTAATAAAGTCAAATTTAGCTTTATCTAACTTAAATAATGTGTGCCATCATAGTCCCACGAAATGAGTGGAAAATAGGGAGTATTGGGAATATATATACAGTACTGTAGCAATAATAGCAATGCCCCACACATACACCAGACTTATTCTAGGCAATGTGGGTGACTCAGGTCTCCAGGCCATGCCCAGCTGAGCTTCGGTCTAATGGGATCTGGCTTTCACATGCAGGTGTGGCCACACTATACAGTATTATATCATATCATTTAAGATTAAAGATTTCTCCACTGTGGGACAAATAAAGGATCTCTCAATCTTAATCTTAATCCATTTGACCAACCTCGTCACTATAATATAATAATAATCTTTATTTATATAGCACTTTTAAAAACCATGTTTACAAAGCGCTGCACAGTCAGCATGATAAACAATAAAACAGTCAGGATGTAAAGTCAAAATATTTAGATACAATAGATACAGGAAAACAAAGCAGACAGAGCAAAACACAAAAGAGACACAACAAAGACAAAGCAGACATTAAAATACAGCATGTGAATTTAAGAACTAACAGTTAAAAGCTGTTTTATAAAAGTGGGTTTTAAGAAGTGATTTAAAAGAGGATACTGACGGTGCTAGCCTTATCTCCTCGGGCAGGTCGTTCCAAAGCTGAGGAGCCCGGACAGAGAAGGCTCGGTCACCTTTTGTCCTTTCGTCACTGTGACATTCACACTGTTATATTTTACCTGTGCGGATCTGACACAGCCAGTCGTTGTAGCTCTCGCAGGGCGCGTCGTTCCAGGAGCCCGAATTCTCGTCCCAGTTGTAAATCTTAAATTCTGCGCACGACTCAGCGTTATTGAAGTTGTTAGGCTCCCCCGCTTGCCAGTGCAGGAAGTTCAGCTTCAAACACAACAGACATAAATGGTAAATTTATATGGTAAATGTATGAAAATCCGGCATGTGAGAGCGATGGTGTGGAGGCTAAAATAATTTACAGCAATTGATCTTTGCTTATTTGGTTCCAGGTGAATAATAAAGACACACTTTTACCCTAACTATCACTCAGTTCAATCCAATAACTCATCATTTACAAATAATTTATTTTGGCTATTTCTAAGTGAAAATAATTATTGCCTGGTTTTACTTTATTGTGTTTCATTTGGTACAGTGCACAGACTTTGTAAGCACAACAAAACTTTTTTTAAATACATGTATGCTGCAGTTAAGTGCATCTACACACATATACACACACACACAGACACACACACACACACACAGGCCGATGCCATTATATCTTCAACTGAGGATATTATTTCCCAATCTAAAACATGAAACAATAAAGTAAATTGTCTCATTGTCATTCTAATGGTTACAAATAATGCACAATACATCTTCATTAAAAAGTCTGGCCAAAAAAAACATAAGAAATTGAACAAACCGGGCTCCCGTCACTCCAGGCGTATCCAGAGTTTGCATCTGGGACATGGAGACCAATCCAAGCTTTTCCGTGACTTTAGAAACACAACGATTGAGATGTCAACTAAAATGTCTCAAGGTTTGAATTCATAAAGAAACCAAGGCAGGTGAAAACTGACCGTGCCACTCGTAGCTCCTCACTGCTGTGGATACTCAGCAGATCTCCTCCGACGGCCCTGCAGAAATCTCGAGCCTCAAACCAGGTTTTCTCTTCTGCTCTGGGGCCAGTGTAAAACTATAGGGCAAACACATACATCAGAATTGTCTGCACCCAAATGACCATGTACATCTATTCATTGAAGATGCTGCAAAGTGAGTGGAACTTCGGGTTCGTTGAGAGAAATTCACCTTTCAAATTAGGAACACATGACTGAGACCGACTAGCAACCTGCCTGGTGACTACTATCCATAGCAAGGTGATTTCAGTCCAAAAAAACAAAAAAAATTACAACATAACATACTTTCTGGAGTATTAAGCACACCTGTTTAAAAGTTGGACCAATTTTAAAAACATTTATCACTTTAATATAAGCCGTAGGTTTAAGCTGATATACAACTGTTAAAAATGTAAGGAGTCAAATGAATAATAATAATAATGTATAAACTCTGTTCTGACATAAAAACAAGTCCTGTGTATTACCCAGCTCTTCCTTGTATCGGCTCTCTGCTGTTCACATAAAAACACTGAAGCAGGAATGTGTGCTTTGTCATCAGCTCTACAGATTGGCGGCTGATAGGGCTGTGTTCAAATCTGTTCCCTCTAACAAAATGAAACTGCAGTGCGTTCAAATAACTGAAATGCCGTGGCTTAAAGTCCAGCAATTACATGCAAATCTCCAGCCCCAAACAAAAAAATCAATGGGGATTATTGATTGGGATAGTTCAGGTTTACTCTAAATGTATTAAGGATGGATGCTTATATCAATGTCAGCTTGAAATTGTATCATTAAGGTAATTACTCAGCACTTTGAGTTTCCTTGTGTATGAATTGTGCTTTACAAATAAACTTTCCCTGGCTCAAGTTGAAAAAAAAAAGTGCTTTATCATGTATTTACTTGATACGCAGAATTCAAATAATTTCACACGGTTTTTTACAATTCTCTCTTTGTATTTTAAGTCATTTTTTGGCAGTGGTGTAAGTCTCGCACAAATAAAAAACTATGTACGCCACTGATTCAAATTGGAGTTGGTCAAACCTTAACACAGTAGTTCCTTAATGGGATCTTGTTCCAACCATCGGGGCATTTTGGGGGGGGCACAGTGGCTGGGGGCTGGGTGATTATAGCGCCCTCTGCCAGATGTTTACAGATGTACTTCTCTTTGTTGGTGCAGGGCAACAGGTCCCAGAGTCCAGCCATTACACCAGTGGTCATCGCAACACAACCCTGCTGGTATCCTGGAAAGTATTCATAAGATATTTCATTTGTAAAGATCACACTTGAGATAACAAACTGTACATGCAAAATCTTAAAGATACTGTATACTTATATGCAATACATAATGGCAAACTACTATTATTCAGTTTAGCTTAGATCAGATATAAAATCCAGAGGAGATTTATGTTTTGCTGTTGTCATGAAGTGGTTAATAAGAGTCTGTTCAATCTCCCGTCTACCTCTGTACCCCTCCCATTTCTTCCTGGATGTAAAAATGCTGTGATATACTTTTGCGTGGGGCAGAAGAACAGCGCAGATGATTGTATATTTTCTGACATTTAACAATAAAAACGAATTCGATTGTGCTGCTGCAATGGAAACCCTAACCCTAACCCTAACCCTACTAGGTGCGTGTAGACTAGAACCAGAGTGGACAGACCGGTTTGGAAATATATAGCCACATAGAGTCAGTATTTTTTTTAACATAATTCTTTCTACATTTTCCTCATTTTTAAACATAGAGACAAAATATAGTGCCAGTCAGATTCAGGGAGGAACTATACTGTAGCAGATGGCAGACTACCAACATAAAAGTTCAACTACGCAATAACTATTTATTAACAAATCCTTTACATAATTTTACCTGGCATGTTTGAGTTCCAGTGAGTGAACCTAACATAGTCGGAATTTCTCCAAACAAAACGATCAATGTCGGCCATGTTGGAAAGACCAATCCAGAAATATTTCTCTGGTCGCATCCCCACCAAACTCACAAGAAATGCATTGTCCACTCTGAAACCAGAAAAAAATATAGGTATTATTCATTCATTCAACTTCATCCCCCAAAAACAACAGCAGAATTCGGGAAGGTGACTTGAGTTGACCAACTAGCTGGACATGTAAAGTACTATCTTCTCTTTCAAATAGAGTTCTTACCCATTTGACACGTCCACCATGTAGGAGTCTGTTCTCTTGCAGTCCTCATTGGCTTCATCAAACGTTTTGGTTTCTGTTCCCACAAAGTAGCAGTATGAGCCATGCTTCTTCCAGCCCTGTGTCGTTAGAACACTTTAAAATACAATCACTGTAGAATGGGGTTTGCACAATATAATGTCAAATGTTGAAAGTCTATTGTGTGCATTTGTACATTCAAATGTTTTTGAATTGATTTGCACCATACGCCAAAGCAAATTCTTGGAATGTGACTTCCTGTTACTTAAAATAGCAATAAGAATAACAGTGAGGGTCAGGAGCAGGACTGTGCCCCAACCTCTACACTCCTCTCTTCAATTCAATTCAATTCAATTTTATTTATTTAAAAAGGGACAGTGTACAATTAGAACATAAATGCCTCCATTTGATGCATTGTACCGGAGTTAGCCTTAGGCTAATTTGCATCCGTAGTCCCCCGGCAGGGAAGAACACTCCACATACAGGTGGGTATAAAATAACACAAGCACATACCATAAAATACACATTTGTATACAGTCAGCAGATACACACAGAGCAGACGCACAAACGCACAATCACAGACATATTCCAACACACAAGCGCACAATTACACACAGTTACACACGCACACAAACACACACACTCAGGTGGCATCAGTACCTTTGGGCCTATGGATAATGATCACATCTTTGCTCACTCTTTAAGTGTCTTTTCAATTCCATCTTAAAGCCTTTCAGTGTAGCACATGACTTAATAGAGTTAGGAAGAGCATTCCACTGCGTAGAGGCCTTCACAGAGAAGGCGGAGAAACCAAACGCAGAGCGACGGAAGGGGATCATACAATCGCGCACCGAGGCTATTCTCGTGGATCTAATTGAGTGTATTGCCCTATCTTCAGAGCCTACCCTCCCACAGAGATGGAGCCCCTCTCACCCAGCCATCACAAACTCCTCCCCATTTGATACTGATTCTGCTGTTGTGGTCATTGTTAGTGACAGAGTTAGAAACTGACCGGTTTACAGCCCACGTCCATATTGATCTCGTCTTCAGTTGTTTCTGTGCTGCTTTGCTTCATGCAAATAAAACCATGCTTTTCTTCACAGCTACGATCCGCCCAGTTTCCTTTCTGAGGGAGGAGAAACTAAATGAATACCTTGATAGTCAAAGCAAACCAATCAAAGAAAAAAAAAGAAAAAAATAATGTTAATCTCCACTTTGTCTTTTTATAAATGTGTATTTGAGGATCCGAAAGCAGTGTGTGACTCCTGTATTACAATGTTACTCCTGAATTTCCATTATAATGTACACTCAAATTTCACATTTTCAATAGATTAGTCAATGTAAAGCTAAATTATAACTATTTAGACAACCAGAAATTGTGGAGTATCACCTTGTTAATAAAAATATATAAATTATTACACACTATTGATGCAAGACTTTTGAGTGTGCATGGCCCACGTGAACAAACATAATCTAATTGACTCTATGATAGATTAAATGTGTCTAGAGGCAGCACCTCTCCTGTCATGAGGACACAGTCCTCAGTGTCTCCAGACACCATTGGCTCTCCATACGTCCAGCTGCTGAAGCGCACTGGGGTCTGGTCGATCCACTCAAACAGCCCCTCGGTCCTCAGGTCATTCAGGCCGATCCACAACTCGTCAGTAGCAGCTGCACTCACACATGAGGACCATGGTAGACGTCATTTACACTAAGTTTCCTTCTTCTCCTTATTATCTACAATCGTGAGTATTGCAGGTTCAAAGAGCACGCCGCCATTTTTCTTATCTTCCAATGGGTTTTTTGTATTTGGATTAAAACATGTGTGTATTAATACAGACTGCCTAGTCCATGTTAAATCAATAAATACTCATGTACATTACAGAAAAGTACTGTACCATATATTCTCAGGTGAGGTTTCCTGACATTTCAAACATATGTGCATTCTTGCATTCAGGTTTCATCTTGATATTTGATGCATTGTTTTAAAAAGCCTTTTCCCCATTCAAAATGTATGATTTATTCTTGAATAAACATCTATCCATTCTGACAACTACAGATCACCTGCTTGTCTCTTTGAAGATAAAGACATTTAATGTCATGAAATGGAATATTCTTGTCAATGCTTTTAAAACAAATGATTGCATGAATGTTTGAAAACACCGCTCCTCACCATATCCGAGCTGGGACAGCACAAAGCTCTGGTCCTCCAGGTGCCGGATGCTCAGCAGATCTCCGTCCTCTTTACGACACTCTTTCACAGAGTCTGTCCAGGTTTTCAGATCCCGGTGAAGGTGGAAGCAGTGACCACTGTAGGGAATCCAGGGACTGGCACAATGGCCCTGCTCAACTGTAGAACACAACAATATGTCACAAGGATCCATTTACACTGTATACAGTTTAGTAAACTGGAAAACTGGATTTGTTTCTTTTTGTTAGTACATGATAAGTGAGGGGAGGGAATTGGATTAATTGCTTTATGTTTACCCATTTATTATATTTTCATTCTATTTTTCTATGAATAATTGTTTGTATATCATGTGCATGCTTGAAATGAATAAACAAATCAAATATTACAAATATGTATTTTTAATATTTTTCTAAAAGTTTGCATTTCCTGAGATATTTTATTTGGGCTTTGTACAAGCTGTGAGCCAATTATCAGCATTCTAAATGAAAGAAAGGCTGAATATACTGTACTGTACTGTAAGTTAAATTACAGAAGTACTTTTCAAGATTTCTGATTCTCCAACTAAAGTCCAGGATCAGGTCCAGGTTCAGGATCAGGATTATTGTACCCATCGGTAGATTAGTGGACAGACGTTACATGCCATCCAATACAACATGCACACTCAAAAACATAACACAAATATAAAGTTCATAGTATAAATGACTCCAATTATGTAAATTATGTAAAAATAACATATCTGGACCAAAAAAGAAAAATAGTAAAAAGCCCCAAAGCATCACAATACATTATTTTCCCTGTCTTCTGCATCAGGCCTATTTGTACTTTTATTATTATAAAACAACTGCTTACCATGACAACAAGACTCTACAGCAGCCATTCCCAAACTCAGTAACACCGAGGCCCCCTCAAAAATCTGACGGGTCTGCGTGGCCCCCCAAAATAATAACCAAGAAGACAATATTAAGAATAGGCTCTTCTGGTTATTTTATTTTGGCGAAATAGCCTCTGCTACAAACATTGTAATACAAAAATGATTACAGTGGATTATTAAAGTCAAATAATGAACACAAATATTTTAATATTACAAACAAAACATTATAAATTTAACATTAAATAATTATTATTATTATTTTTTTTTTTTATGACCTCCCGCGGCCCCCCTGCAGTACCCTCGCGGCCCACCAGGGGGCCGCGGACCCCACTTTGGGAGACACTGCTCTACAGCTACTACTTCTTTGCGGTGACTGCGGTGACTAAACTATGTGGGTAACTCTCTCACACTGCACTATCACAAAGACTGCTACCGCCGCTGCTGCTACCACAATCATTTCAAAACAACAGCATAAAGTACTACAACTACTATCACTTCTTCTTCCTCATTCTTTATCATAATTTTACAGAAATGAAATTAATCACGTCAAAGTTAGCTCCTTAATCCCCATTTCAAACCTAAACTAGTTTGATGTTACAAACCCATTATTTTCAAGTGATCAGAAGTACATGTATAAGACATCTCCTTCTACTGGTGAGAATTGGCATTAATTATAAGCATCTTCATGTTGAAATATTTTGGACAGGACAGGGCCTGGTTAGTAGAGTGATGGAAGCCACACAGGGCTGCAGCTGTAAAGTGCCATACTGTCGTTGTGTCCTTGGGCAAGACACCTCACCCACGTTGCCTAGAATAAGTCTGGTGTATGCGTGAATGAATGAGTGGTGGTCGAAGGGGCGGATGGCACATACTGGTTGCCCTCAGTACTAATCTATTACCCCTGTGTATGGGGTAATAAATAAAGTGAATCAATGACACGTGAAGCATTTTTGAGTGTCCAAAAAAAGCACCATAAAAAACACCAATGCATTATTCTTATTTCTCATCACTCTAAAACTCTTGAATACATTTCTTACTGGTAAATGTTGGAGGGGGCAGCGGGCTTTTGTAGCAGACATATCCCATTTGTTTTCCACACGTTGAACTCTCCCAGGCTTGCTCATTCGAACTGTCCAAGAGCGCACAGCTGTGTCCAGGGTTCGGCATTGGGTTTCCTGAAGATTAAGAAGCATTATCAGCATGGTGTCTCTATAAAATAACAATAGTAAATCAAATCTCACTAGAAAGCTTTTACAATGCAGGGTGGAGAAGTCACTGCTGTATTTCAAATTATGTAAATCGATTTAGCACTTAGCTAGCTACAAATAACATCGCTACTGTCACCCATCGACTGTATGTTTCACCAGAATTCTAAAAATATATATTTACAAAGAATAGATATAAACAACTTAAGCAGGCAGAAGAGGGAGCTGCTTTCCCGCAATAGAAAATAAGAAGCCAAAATAAACACAAGGGTTTTAGAGTGAAAACATTATAACTAAACTATGCCAGTCTTGTTAACTCTATACGCATTTAAAAAATAAGTGCAAAATAAGTGAGGTAAAATAATCTGCATAGTATTTCTCATTTTTCATTTGGTGTACTGTGATTATATTTTGCTGAATCTGTCTTTGGTTATTTTTAGGGGTAAAGAAATTAACATCTTCTTGAATCATGTCTATGTTTTTATTTTTATTTTGAATTCACTACCATTTAGCATTTCTTATTAATTTCACTATCTCGTTCTAGATCAAGCATGTCCCTAAACAAATCTATATACAATTATGAAGTTTGTCTGTTGACAGTTGGGGAAAAAAACTCCTTCAGGGAAAGAGAAGTGAATTCCCTTGCATCAAAAACATGCAATATCCCACTGGCCAAAACTAAGGAGTAGCGGCTCCTCGTTTGGGCCACTTAAAGCACCGGTCTTACCACTGGCCCAGCGGAGGTATTTAAAAGGTTGTCCATCGGTCCACTGCCAGCCGTGTTCAGGATCCAGCACCAAACCCATCCACACCTTCGACTTTCCTTGTCCAAGCATAACTGAGGGATGCAGAGGAGGCAACACAAGAACACAGGTGAAATACCAAGTTTTAACCACTGGAGGATTTACACATGACTACAATTATGTTAAAAACAACCATTTGAATATGAGAGTGGCTCTAAAAGTATCATTAAATAGATAAAATATTCTATGGAAAATTACAACAACAGGGACAGTTATTTTTGTTTTAGCTCTTTTGGCAGAATTTTACCACAATCAGATTTTGCACTAGATCATGATTCCAAGACTGTTCTCTACATATTGTGTGTCATAATTCAGTCTCCAAATATGGATTCATGGCCACTGTGCTTTATGAATTCCTGGATTGGTTTTACTCTTTTTACATGTATTATATGGAGTATCATTATTATTAACTCAAAATGTCGGAATTGCACTTAATTCATCTTAATGGACTTCAATAAACGGTTCAATACAGATTTGTATTCGTTCTATCAGTCTGCTCCAGGACAGCTGTGGCTACTGTAGTACTTTATTACCACCATGTATCGAGTGAATGATTATTGAGCGTCTTTTGGTGTAAAAAAAAAAAAAACCTGATGCATTATTATTAGTAAAACAATGCTAAATTTTTATCATCAATTAGTTATAGTTGAGCAAAGACCACCTTACGGGACAAAAAGGCCTGCTCAAAGGGGTCTCCAATGCTGAGCAGGGCGCCTCCCTGTTGTGTGCAGCTGGTGTGTGCCTGGGCCCAGGTCAACGATGACTCCAAGTTTGCCTGGTAATACGCTCCTGTTGCAGAGTTCCTGGTCCAGTGGTCATTAGCTGAAAATAAACAATAAGATGTCATAGTGTTGTTTTAGCTAATTGAGATCTTTCGGACAAACTTAGCAATTGGGATTTTAGAATATCAATTGTATTCTGCTTAGCCTTTTAATGATCACTCCTTGAAGAAAGCAATGTACAGTATATGTTTCTTTTTTGGATTTTGGATGTAGGAGCACTAACGACACGAATACTTAGGGAATAGATCTCTACCAAGAGGCACAGCTCCATTCCTTCAGCTGCAGATGCTCCAGCTACAGTATGTACAGTAAGTCAAGTAGAATTGACTTGTATTCTTAGCCATGTACAGTAATTTGAATCCGTTACACTGTCTCTTTAACTACTGTTTTTCAAGCTCTAGGATGTAGTATTGCTCACTCACATGTGCTGGGACAATTTCCCCACCGCTCGCGGCCGTGCTTCGTCTCCACAGAGCACCATGACCTCTTGTTGGGAGAATCGTAGGTGGTGCAGTCTCCAAACCAGCGGTCTTTGTACTGAAAAGGGAACATGCAGGGCTTTCCAAACGCATTTCCCCCAATGGTGAAGAGCTCTGGTCCAAGGAAAGAGAGGTGTGGGGTTAGATCCTCAGACAGTACTACTACATTTGGCAAAACACAGTCAAGCATTTCATAGCCATTGAGAGGATTTCACAGTGTCATCCAGCCAACTTCAGCTCCACCAATATAGTCTGTTGTGTCTTCAAAATCTTTATTTGCATAAAATGACATTTGTTTTTGTTTGTGTCATAAAATTCCAGAGATAATGTAGCTATGGTGTGAATCAATATGGAGATCTCACACCTAGTTTTAAAACAGTTTTACAGTCCATGCTGTCGGCCCCTGGATAAGTCTGGTGAACTGAAGTGGCCCTCTCACTAGAAAGGTTGGTTGTGTATGGAGATGTTGATGTTTGTTGGCGTATTTGCACTACATTTACCAGGACAAGTATTAGATATGTTTTAGTGTCAATTTACGACCACAATGATCAAAACTCAATGATGACTTTCGGTAGTTGACTTATCACATCAGCTATAAACAATGTGTGATCATGTTTTAATGTCTGATCTCTGTAAAGCAGGTTTCACACATATTGACCATAATCATATTTCGAAACTTTGGGTTATTTTGATGGTAACGGTTAGACTACACTCAACACCAGGTTGGGTTACATGATAATAAGCTGTTTAAGAAAACCTCAATACTAAATTGGAATGTAATTTTTAATAGTATATTTTATTGTTCTGTATTGTATGTTACACTAGTTCGGATGTAGATCCAAATCTTCAAACAACTTCCCAAAAAAGACCCAAACTTGTTCTGATCATGTGATAGGTTCTTGTTAGTGTTGATACTACATTTACAGTCAATTAAATAACCTGTATTTGGCCTTAAAACGCACATAAACATAAGAAAAAACATGTGCCAATATGAATTATCCAATCCAAAAGTAGAACGAGTTTTTTGCAGTGTATATACATGTTTTTAGTATTGATATCACAGTTTCTATGCCAGTCAGAGAAGGGGCTGTATCATCTGATTCATGAGGCTTGTGACTTGTGCTGTAACTATATATTTACTCACAATTCCTATAATTTGGATGGATGGGTTTACTTAATAACCTAATAACCTGAACATATTTGAACACCACAAAGCTATTGCAAATGTCATGTTTTTATACAGCAAAAATTATAAAATATACTTTATTAGTCCTTTCCTAGGTCAGGGGGGCGGTCGACCGGTGTTGCAGCAGACGCCTGAGTGGGAGTAATTGGAGTAAGTCTCGCAATCTTGAGGCCCAAAGGCCTATGCTCTACCAACTGAGCCAGATATTCAGTATGTGTTCAAATAAATTCAGTCTAATTCAAGCAATATCTGACTTTTGTGTTCCCTCTTGTTAACGGAGAGAGAAAGGGACGTTTGTGGTTTCCTCTGTTACGGATTTGACTGTGATTGCGCACTTTCTCAACATTTTTCAGCTCTCTGAAAGTGTATGGTAAAGACTACTCCTCATACGTAAAAGCACTTGGTGCTCGTCTTGGTGGCAACCGTGTCACATCAAGAGTCCCACCCGAGGTAAAGAGGAAGTTTACTTTGCACTGATTTTATTATAATTATTTAATATAATATCATTATTTGTGCGGCTCTTTGCTAAGGAAAGTCTTCTCACACCCGCAGACATGCAATAGTTCACATGGGCAAACTTTTCATTCCTGTGAATCACATTGGATTATCAGCCTGCTGTCAGGGGCTGGAAGTTTTTCATATAGAAAGATAATAATGTAATTTGTGCTTATTGACCAGGATGCTGCACAGAGTTTTATTGAGATTAGTTAACATGCCCACAATGCTCTTTACCACAGGTGTCATATAACTACCTGTGCACAGATGAATTTGAGGGTCCAGAAAAAAAGAAGAAAACAGTGAAAAATGCAAAGATTACATACACAGCAGGGCTGGCAAAGTTGCGCAGATCGCAGAGAAAAGGGGATGCCATGAAAAGTTGGTTCTAACACGTGCTGAGAGAGAGAGACTGAGGAGCGTGACTCAAGAGCATAGGGGTATGGTATAGTCTTTGTACTATAGTGATATGAACTTAGGAGGACTCGGGGGCCTGATAGAAACGTCCAAAGGGCCACAACTGGGGTTTGAACACCACTTCGTTTGAGCGGAACTTGAAAGTATGGTGCTAATCTGCCTCGTCACCCCTCCAGACAGGATTAGGGCTCCTCGATTTTGCCATGTGTATGATTACAGCCCTGTACCTCTGTGCGTCCTGGTGCAGGCTCCGCTGTTGCTCCCGGCGATGGTGAAGTGGCTGTTGGGCCCCACACTGCGAGTCAGGACGATGCTCTCCTCCGCTTGTATCTCCATGTACAGGTTCTGGTCCCCTCCCTTCAGAGCCAGCAGTGTGTTGTTTCGACATTCCCACCTCTGCAGCTGGCTCCGCTCGTCACAGTCGTAAAAGTTGACCTCGCTGCCCACACTTCGGCCCTGAGCTCCCAGACACTTTCTGGTCAAGGTCACAAAAAGTCTGTTTCCCGTCGTCCAGCGCACCTCTGCACATCGGCTGGACTTCTTCACCAGACAGAATCCAGTGGCTTTGTTGGAAAGAATGAACGGTGAATCTGGAAGAAGAGACAGAACAAATATTATCTTAAAAGTCACTTATTATTTTAGTTTTCATCAAAAACCGTTTTGATTGCCAATTAACCATTCTCCAGCCGAAAAATAACTTTATACACTTGTTTTGATCATCACATAACCTTTTTTGCGCAACATTTTAGATAAATATTACACTAACTGCATTTAAAAACATATTATTTTAGTTTAAAAGTGATTTGGTTCTTCTTACACCATTTTGGCCTGGTCTAGTATGTTACCAAAATAACATTTACTAAGAAGACAAGATGAAGCTTCCTAAACTAATTTTTAAAAGTATTTCTTTTTCCATGTAAATTACACTACAGTGAAACATTTCTGTAGTCCGTATGCAGATTTAATCTTTCCTCTAATTGTTAGCGGCCATTTTGAAATATTGTTGGAAGTAGGGCTGAGCAAGGCCAGATTCAACACGAGAAAATTAATCAAGCAAAACACAGGCAAAAAATTACAAAACATAAGATAGATGATAAACCAAAACAGAAGTATTTTATTTTTTGGAAAATAGACTAGTATGAATTGTATTTGTCAACTCAAAAAAGTTATCAACAGCAACCAAAGAACATATGAATAACCCATAAATCCAAATTAATCCTATAGATCCAAATAATCCTATAATGGTGGAAAAAGAGAAAAAACAATACTGTTGAGATACATTTTGGATTTAAATCTGTTATTATTATTTTGAAAGTTAAGTCACTAGTTAAAGATAATATTTGGGGGCCAACAAACCTCACAATTGCATGAAACTGCACCAAAACCTCAACAGGCAAAGTTTATGTGAATACATCTGCACTCTTTTTTAACTAACCATACACAATTTACAAAAGACAAAACAAACTATACCATTTTGGGCATGGGCAGCAGGGATGAAAAACGTAACAGCAGTCAATGTTATCCACAGATGCAGCTCTCTGGTGATCAGCCCCATCGCAGCAGTCTGCCCGTGCACTGCAGGCAGAAGAGTGTGAGCCAGACCTTCACCAAGTCCCTAACTTTAAACGACTGGCTGTGCCTTTTTGGTTCCCTTCTTCATTGAGAAATTGTTGTCATCCTGTTTACTTCCCATCCTTCGCTGAAACAATGCTGGGGTAGACATGACGCAGCACTTTTGAAAATCAGACACAAGTATAAGAGAAAGTTATGTTTGAAACGATGGAATAAAGTATTGGATTTAATTCAAAACATTAAGTAACAGCAACCAACTTTTTTCACTCTGATATGTTGGATTTGGGTGTAAATTAAAGGTATATTGGAGGATTTTCCTACATTTTTGGAAAGAACCGCCCTCTCCACTTTTCCAAAAAAACTGTCTGGTCTTATTTGACGAGCACGCATCACCAGACAGAATAATTGACAATTGGGAGGACCAATAGTATTGATGATCCACCCAGAAGTATAAAATCCTCCAATAGACCTTTAAGAGTTACTAGATTGTTGCAGTAAATTGACTTTAGGATAAGATAAGAGAGAAAAAATAAATTATATATATCTATCCAATCCAACATGACAGAGTTATGTGGAAAAGGTGTCTTAACTTTATCCATAAAATCCTGCACGTTGTTTCTTGTGAGTGAATGTGGGTTTTAACCATCCATGAACAGGTTTGAATTATTTGATTATAGATATTAGAGAATAATCCAATCCACTTTATTTGTATCACACATTATATTCAACAGTAGAGCACGCGGTTTGTGGAAGTTTGCTGGTTTACCCACTCTAGTTTAGAAGCATAGATGATATTCTGTGAGGCGGATAGACCCATGTCCTGATGTGAGCAGAAAGTGTCAATCACATCAACTGTTACTCACTTCCCTTTGGAGTGTTTCTCCTTTTTCAGGAGAAAAGGAAATGGAGTAGTGTCTCAAGAGCCACCAGCCCAACGACATTTAAGTTCATAGTAAAATGTAATGGTGGCGTCAGTAGTTCAGTTGGTAGAGCGTTGGCCTTTGAGCCAGAAGGTCATGGGTTTGAGCCCACCTCAAGACTTTCACCGTCCACTCAGATTCAGATTCAGATTCAGATTCAGATTCATTTTATTAGCCATGTGCAGTAAACAAACTACATTGGAATACATTTGCAAAGAAAGGTACTCTGTGTGCACCGACAGAATAAAGAACACGATACAATGTAATATAAAATACACATACACTGAATATAAAAGAATATAAAAAAAACAGCTGACACTGTGGCACCGATCAACAAAACGATACAAGGGGTAAAAGCAGGAATGTCTGTCTGCTGTCGTTGTGCAAGACACTTAACCTCTGGGAACACCAGCCACAGTGGGGCGGCTGCGGCTGTGAAGTGCCAAACTGCCGTTGTGTCCTTAGGCAAGACACTTCACCCCCATTGCCTAGAATGAGTCTGGTGTGTGTGTGAATGGTTGGTGGTGGTCGGAGGGACCGATGGCACATACTGGTTGCCTCGCTTCTGTCAGTGTGCCCCAGGGCAGCTGTGGCTACAGTAGTAGTTTATCACCACCGTGTTTGGAGAGAATGAATAATGACATGTGAAGACTGATTATTATTATTATTAATGTACTGTGGTTATTTATGATTTGATTGTCTTGTTTTGTTAAGCACTTTGAGTTGCCTTGTTTATGAACTGTGCTATACACATTAAGGTGCCAAGCCTTGACTACTGATAGCAATTAACACCTTTGCTGTAGCATTTAGTAACACAAAACTATTACTATTGCTACTATGCTATAAGACAAAAGTTCTAAAAATGGTATCATACAGACAAGAAACAGAAACCAGTCAATTATAATTCCTGCAGTGATGAATCTCGTTAAAGACAATAGTGTATAGCTTCATTCACGGAATAAGAGAATTACAAGAACTAAGAAATACATATGTGAAATTCATTGATGTATTTAAAGATTAAATCATATTAATCTCTAGTTGACCAATTCCACTAAAGCCTAGTATCTTTGAATGATGTCACACAAAGTTTTATTGGCATGATTACAGTACACTGAGATCAACTCGCCCCTCCTCCCAGTGTGAAAGTCAGATAAGGTCACTGTCAGCAAGCTAAGTTCAGATATGTCTTTTACAATCCTATTCAGGTCAGCACGTCAACAATATAAACCATGACATGTACCACTTTTTATCAGTATTATCAGTGCAATGTGTGATTTTGCTTTTGTAAATGGAATGATTGGATTTGAATGGAGCTGTAAAACTTCAAACCTGCTGCTCTGTGGACTTTGGGATGTGAGATAAAGCGGTGCCTCCACAGCGCTACAATAAAACGTGTTCAAAGCGACTTTCACTGTCAATGAGCTCAACCGGCTAATGTTGATTTAACGGATTTTATACAGTTTTGAGCAGACATGTGGACCTCTGCCACTGTGCTGTCTGGTAAGAACTCTATTTTAATAAGTGGTAGTTTATAGTGGTTTAACTCTTTTGCAATGGTTTGGTTTAGATTTTAATTTTTTTTTAGGAATTAATTAGGTTGTCTTTTCTTTTTTAGTTTTTCTGGTTGCAGCGTCTGTATGTTGTATCTGCAGCTGTGCAGAGTGTGCGTCATCTGGACTGGTCTGTGATTTCAAGAAGGACTGTGAGGATGGATCTGACGAGGAGTTTTGTGGTACTAAACATATTTTAAAGATCCAACTTGATTAAAAACTGCAAAGGGTTATTGTTAATATCAGAACTGGCAAAAGTACGAGTATAGAATGAACTCAAAACTATTCCCTCACAAAAAAAAATCTAAAAGTAAAAGAACTGACTACATTTTGGGTGCTACAAAGTGTAATTGATTTTTTTATTTCACTTGGCAATTCCTAAAGTGCAATTACGTTCTTAACGATCACATGGCTGTTTTCGCAAAGTCTCCGACCTTCGCCGTCCGTTCACTCGCTTGATACTTTCATACCTTTTGGACATGTTTTACAAATACACAGCAACACAGAAAGGCCTCGTCTCGTCTGGGATTCAAACACTTATTGTTGTGAAACCCACTTACCACGTGAACTGCAGTGCCACCATTATAGTTTCTGCTCACAAAATTCCTTCGAAAATTACTATTTGAAGCTTGGAACTGAAATCTACCTAATTTCAGAATCTCTATCACTTGGTTTTTGGCACTTTTACCATCAAGCTGCCTCTCAACCATTTTGTAGAGGCCGGTCACTAATAAAAATAACCAGTTGTATTTTTTATATTTTTACTCCAACATCTTAGCATTCTTCACAGACTGAACACTAAACGGATAAATGTATTTTTCCTTTCCCATCATGACCTACTAGTTTTCACAGTTATTTTTCTTTTACTACATATTTTTATAACTGACAAATTTTGGAACTTTTCAGGGTCATGTGACTTTGAGGCTCACTCGTGCGGCTGGAACAACACCGGGGACCAGCTTTACACCTGGAGACGACAAATGGCCAACAGCAGCGTGGTACCTGGATTCGACCACACTACAGGAACGCCGACAGGTACAACCCCTGCTCCCTCAGAATCAAAACAATATTTTTATGTGTTTATTGACTTGACGATAACATTTTTGCCTGTTTATTTGTTGATGTTCAGGATTTGTGATGCAGATTCATGTGAAAGAAGGAGCCAGCATGTTCCCTAAGGCTGTTTTAGAGTTCTCAGTTAACAATGAGTTAGGTCTCGGATGCTCAGTCAGGTACGCGTGAAAACGATTGATTGATTGTCTGTAGTGGTTGTTTGCCTACATTTATGCAAACATTTTCATAAACAACATTGACAATAAAAACATGTATTATTTTAATTTCAGTTTCTGGTACCACATCTATAACACAGATACTTATTCAAAACTGAATATGGTCATGCTGAGAGGATCAACTGTGAAAGATCTGTTGTCCATTTCAAAGAAGAACACAAAGGGATGGGAAAACGCAACTGTTTTTATTGGGAATCAACCAAAAGGATTCAAGGTCAGTCTCAAAATAGTTGTTATGATTTATGATAATTAGTTAACTAGCATCAGTGCAGCCTAGCTATGGAATTAGCTGTAGGAGTGTGTAAAGCCTCACGCCATTGGCTATAATTTTCCAACGCGGTTAAGTTTACCTTCTTCAGTTCGTTCAGTTCAGTTCCCATTAGAGGTACTGCAATCACAGCCATCAATCCTACTTAATGACATTTTATAGATGTCGTTTTTTTGGTCTTCAACTTGATATTGTCCATTTAAAAAAAAAAGAAAATTCTTTTTTTTCTTTTCCCAACTTTATTTACTGAACATTTTAACATTAATAGACATACATCATTAAGTAAAAAGGTGCAGAAGGAAACAGACAATACCGGCGAATGTCAACCCCAGCGTCCACCCACCCCCTGCCCGGGCCAAGAAATAAGACCGTTCACATGATTTTTGACGTGATCTACGCCTAATCTAGTTGTATAATTTTGTAATATACTTTAGAAATATCCATTGCATCCTTTCTTCTTCTGTTCACAGTTGCAGTTTGTTTCCCCGCGCCCCTTCATGGGCTCCAACAACATAAAACTGGATGATATCTTGTTTAATAACTGTGCAAAGAATGACATACCCCCAGGTTCGGATCAGTTGTCCTGTGACTTTGAGCAAGACACCTGCTCCTGGTACCACGACTATTCATCCAGCCTTGTGTGGACCAGGAAATCTGACAAAGCGGAGAAGCCTGGTACACACTTCTTTTTTGTAAATTATGTTATTGTTGTTATTATTATTATCCTTATTTTTTGATTATTTATGTCAAACCTACACAACATATATTTTCACACATCAATAGAACAGGCGATGCACAGAAAATGGGTTGGATGGAGCAAATGCTTTTTCGATTCAAACTCCCATCACAAAAGCAATACACAGCTATAACAGAAAATACTGTGTAACAAGTAATATACAATACTTGACACCACCATATATGGTATAAGACAGACATCTCAAAAAACACACACATACACACACACAGACAACACATAGGTTGCTGTAGGGGACAGATATAGATTTATTCGTGGCCCATGTTTAATCAAGAAGTCCGTTTGTAAACCTTTTAACCACATACGAGGAAATCATTTTAAGTCAATAATTTCCATCTTAACCATTTCTTGCGTATTGTTTTGTGTTCATCTGCTTCTGTCTTTTCCAGGTTACCATATGTCAATAGAAGCAAAGCGTAATCTGGATATCAATTCAAGAGCCAGACTGGTCAGCTTTCCCCAATCAACCGACCAACACCTCTGTGTCAGTTTTTGGTACCATATATTTGGGAGCAGTATAGGTATATCTCAACAAAAACAAAGCATAATTCTGTGTTATTGTTATTAGTGTTGTTAATTGTTGCTTTTAAACTCAAGGTTCATTAAAGTTCATCACTAAATATCCCGGTGAAGAAGAAACCGTAGTTTGGATGCGAAGTGGGACACAAGGGAATAAATGGAGATTTGCTGATTTGACTTTTCGAAGTGACAAACCAATACAGGTATGTTTCAGATTTGTTTTCATTATTAAGCCACAGTATTAAACTTTAACAATCTTATCGCCATGGGAACATCCTGGCTGTTTTATGGAGCAAGATCAATTACAAATCACAAATGTAGAGGATTGGTCGTGACTTAATTTAGTGCTGTACTGAGAACCTAAAACTGTATTCCGTACATAGGCATTTGTTCCGCTGTTTGCTTTGCTCCGTAAAAGTGGGGACATGTGTCTAACATGTCTACTAAGGCTATGTTTTTGGGCAATCCTTATATGGCTCATATCTGACAAAGACAATATCAAAATAAAGATTTTCTGGAAGCTCAAAATGTTGAGTGTGAGACAAACAATTAGAGAACTAGAAGAACTATTAGAAACCCAGAGCGAGTTGGAGCAAAACCTTGTTCATGAGCACTTTCCTAGTGGGTTTCATCGAGCTAGGGGGTAAGCATTGTCCATGTACAGTCTATGCAACAGTTTAAGCAAGGGGGCACTTTTGGTGGATAGTTTGCTGCCTAGAATCCCCACTATATGTCAGTCGATGACATATCCACGTTCAGTTACAGGTCAGATCTGTTGAAAGGGGCGTCTCACTGTAAGAATATTTTTATCGTTTGTATTTCTCATAATTTTGAACTAATTAATTCATGGAAAATCCAGTAACATCAGTTGAGACAAGCTTGTGGCAGACTCCTCTGAAAGATTTTACACTTAAATGTGAACTTTTTAATTCAAACATGTATATTTATTTTTTGTTTGTTTATTCTAATTTCTTGTTTTCCTCTGTGATTTTCCAGTTTATAATAGAAGCGGTAGTCGGGGGGACACAGGGGAGCATAGCCATCGATGATATCGTGGTGTCCCGCAGCTCAAATGGCTGTCCCGCAGAGAGAGAATGCACCTTCCAGGGTTCTATGTGCGGGCTTCAGACTTCAGCAGAGTTTGGTTGGACCAGAGTCAAAGGAAGTGCGCTGCCCGAAAATTCTGCAGGACCAAAAACAGATCACACACTGGGAACGGATCAAGGTAGCAATAACACATATCATAGTCAGCTGATTTAAATTAAGTAACAGCTCAATATTATTTTCTTTTGTATTCTTAAAGAAGCTATACCCGATTTTTTTTTCCAATTACTTCATAAAAATGCTTATTACTACATACAAGTTGTGTCATAATCCGTTATTTAAAGCTGCATTACCTCACTTTATATTTGTATTAATTACGAAAATTCAATCCATATCCATGCAATGCATTGGGATATACGTCCTTTTGAAGACTGATTTGTGCTGGCGTGTCATTTTATTTTATATCGAGTTTTGATGCAACAAGGAGGAGAATTTGTTTCGGGACCAGATTGTGACCAATCACAGCGGACCACTGGCCCCCACTTTCTTGAGAAAAGCCACAGGTCTCTGGTTAGCACAGACAGCTGAGGTAAAAAAGCGGCGTAGGTGAACCTGAAACTTCCCGTGTCTTCGTTACCGGTTTCTGCTTACACAGCGAAACAGCCATCCAAAAGAAAGTCCCGTTCCTCCGTGCTTCCCGGTTCTATCATTCTATGGTCACGCCATCCACGTTCAAATGTGTCCATATTGTGAGACGTGAGCTCCGTAGACAGCAGATGTGCGACTGAGGGGGAGGGGGGTAGTGGGGGGCAAAAGCTCCGTGAGTGCGGGGAGGGCGAGCAGAAAGGGCGAGCTTGTGAATGAATTCAGGCCGTATAAAAGTGCTGAGTAAAGACTTGTGTAAACGCTCGTTCTCCTCCACTCACGGAACGAGGCTGCGTCCTCTAGCCTCTACACATTAGCATGTTAGCAGAAAGTGGCTATAACTCAGTGGGGGCAGGTCCCGGCTCAAAAGTGGCCAAAATGACGTGCGCTGACATGCTTGCAATACCACCCCGGGCCGATGGGGGTGGACCCAGACTAAGAATTAGCCAATGCTGACATATAGCATCTTCTTACCTCTCGAAAACACCTTTACAGGATGGTCCAAAAGTTGGCTCTTGGCCCAAAGCTCCGTTCCACATGTGTGTCAATGCTGAGGGGGGTGAATTTTTTTGGACCAGTCTAGTTTAGTCACTGTGAATTTTTGAAGTCACTCGTTTAAATGAATTGGGCTTTCAGTTATATATATTTTTAGCAGTGCTTTGCTTTTGTACCATTTCATCAGTGATTATTGTACAGCTTACAAGAAGTTATGCTTGAGTCTTGACAGAAGTAATTATGTGGTTTTTAACAATTAGTAAACTAAAACCTATGGCCATGTATGGAATTGGATAATTTGGCAGTCAAAATTAAGTTCTGATTTATTTTGCTGCCTCATTCAAACATCTATAAGCACAGAGCAGCACATTAGACGAACATGGTCATCCGGGCCATCTCCTCAGGCTCCCACTTGGAGAGTGAGACAGAGCCTGACTCTGGAGGGTGAGGACAGGCCCTGCCTCTGGAGTGCAGGACCGCATCAGGACAACATCTCATGCACGACTGTAGAGCTGAGAGCCTCATGAAGACTGAGCACCCATGCAGAAGGGCTACTGCAGGCTCATCTCATTTGACCTCTAGGACGTAACTCCTACAGTCACTTTCTAATCCTATTAGTATATCGAATACTTTTCACAAATCTTTTTTTCACTTTTAACATGTTTGTACATTTCCTGTCCTTTGCACAACCTGACGGATCCTAATTATGGCAAATACTGTATAACATGTAATGTGATTTGAGATCAATAAAGTTAATCTTATCTTATCTTAAATATTCACATTTATTACACTTTTCTCCTGTGTAGGGTATTACTTGAGTTCCCAGCTGTGGAGCCTCACAACGGGCGCTAAGGCCTTAGTGAACACAACTGACATGGGACCCACTGTGGCCGATGGAGAGTGTCTCATGTTCTGGTACCACATGGAGGGACCGGGTGTCGGGGAGATAAATGTTTACGTTCATCCCAATGACAATACGGAAAAGCTGATCCCAGTGTGGAGTAGAAAGGGCGACCAGGGCAGCCACTGGAGACACGGGAGAGTCACGCTGCTCAGTCCGCATCAGCAGTTTAAGGTGACATCACTGCTCGTACTTATTAAAAACAGATACGTTTAAGGGAGGGTAATACATTTTCTTTATATTTCTGGAAATGTTGATCCTTATTTGGGATTTGACGGGTGGTTATCTGTTTTTGCTTTCTCTGGACTAGAGCACTTTTTAGCTTCACACTCTTAGCTAATTGTAACTTGTCACACACATAAATAATAGTATTTTGTTGCAATAGTATGTCCTTGCTTTAATTATTACATTTAAACCTTATCCAATGTGTATTTTATCCTGTTTCATTGTCTTTTACCACTTGTACTCGTTGGTTGTTTTTTTATTGCTTCATTCTTCGTCATTTTAATGGCAAAAGATTGACACATCTAGGACTAAGCACGTACAGACGTTGTGCTGCCAAGTCAATCTTCAATAAACTCCAATCTAATCTCTTTATGACTTGAAGGTGATGTTCGAGGCCATTGCAGGACATAATCCAAAAGGAAACATTGCTATAGATGATCTGATTGTGTTAAATGATGCCTGCCCACCCGAAGGTCAGTGGAACGTGTCTCTGTGTGTGTCCTCTGTATATTTATTCAACATTGAATCACTCGTAAATGTACACAGGTTTTTGTGACTTTGAAATGGACTTTTGTGGATGGGTCAATAGTCCACTTGCTGAGTCCGGACTAGAGTGGGACTGGCTCTCTGGATCCTCTTCAGGAACCCATGTCCCTCGACGAGACCACAGCCTTAACTCCCAATTTGGTAAATTATAAAAATGTATTGAATAAATCCTGATTGTTTGTTACCCAGCTTTGCTTTTGGAGAGTTGTAGTATTTTGCCTTTAGTGCATATTTCCTGTTCTTTGAATTGTTCTATCATACTCTTATTATTGTAAATGGACTCTAACATGTCCATTTCATACATTTTCAAAACAACAATACTTGTATTATTTCTCTGTGACATTTTTCCAGGGCATTTTGCTTTTTTTGAAATTATGAAGCCTAATCAAACTGCCCGACTGGAGAGTGAAATGATGGAAAAGGTGGACAGAGCCTGTTTGGAGCTCTGGCACTATTCTTCAGACTGGATATTGCAACGTAAGTACAGTAGTCGACAATACCTGACTCTGAGCTTTAAACTTCCTACATACAAGGCAGCGCAACATTATTGTATTTAGAAGAACAGATTCACGACATAGATATGCTAACATAATGACCCTGTTTGTACACTACACACGTTAGCATAACATAATATGACTTGTCCATCCATGCATTTTCTGAGCAGTAGTTTAAGCAGGGAGCCCAGAGTTCCCTAGGAAGTCCTCGTTCTGGGGGGACATAGTCCTATCAGGGTTTCCTCACAGCAGGACGTGCCCAGAACACATCCCCAGGGAGGCATCCAGGAGGCATCGGAAACAGATGCCTGAGCCTCAACTGGCTCCTATTGACGTGGAGACGCAAGAGATACGTCGAGAGCTTTGCCTTTGGAATTCCTCTTCACAACAACTGTCTGATACAGCGACTGCATCACTGCATAACGTCTTACACAAACATATATTTACATATTTATTATATGCAATTCATTTTCACTGAATCTTCTTGCTTTTCAATTTAGATCCTTCTAAAATCATTCTGACTGTGCTAATCAATGAGAACGATTCCCTGCGTGAGTTGTGGAGCAAAAACGGATACCTGAATAATTCCTGGATCCCGGGTAGAGTGGACTACAGAGCAGGCGGACGACACAAGGTACAAACATCACCAGCCACGATTACACATGTCTAATACTGATCTTGGAACGCTCCTCGCAGATTGTCATTGAAGCCACTTGTCCGAGGTCTAATTGCGGCAGTATTTCTATCGATGACATCCACATTATGAGAGACTATTCGTGCGATGGTTCAATTCCTGTCCCCACCACAGCGGCTCCTCCTCCGACGACCACCGCTCCTGCCTCCCCCGTGGACTGCACTTTTGAACAAGGTCGATGTACAACTCAAACTTAACTAAACGGTATTAATCCTGTCAATAGACACTAATGGTAATTTGACATAAGGCTAAAATAGATAGGTTGCGGGATTGTGGTACAGTGGTTAGCACTTCTGTGCTGAACAGAAAGAAGGTCCAGGGTTCAATTCCATCTCCGAACCTTTCTGTGTGGAGTTTGCATGTTCTCCCTGTGTCTTCTTCTCCTACCATTAAAACACGTACAATAGTCTCTTTCTGACTGTTGCACTGAGCCAAAGCAATTTCCAAGTCTGTGACTTCCTGTTACTTATGTGGCAATAAAAATGATTCTGATTCTGATTCTGATTCTGATAGTCCTCCATAACGCCCTCCCTCTTTGGGACCAGGACTCCACTGATAAAGACATTGTTAGACTTTCCTGGTTAAAGAAGGGTCTGATAAATAAATTGGAACATAAATTACTTATAGATTAATTGTTTTTTGAGCCACACCTTTATCAAAAAATGTGTGAGATTTTATACCTTAGACAGAGCTATAAACAGGGAATGAACACACAATTGACATATGCAGTTATGGATCTTTGATGAGACTTTTTGTGAAACTGAGCTGGACATTACGACAGTCTGCAAACATATCTATTGGTGCCGTGGAAGATGCTGAGGGGAGCGTCCTTATTTTGTCTTGGTATAAAACCATGTGAACGCTGCAGCACACTGTTGATGTCATTGTCTGCTGTGAATCAACAATTGCATGCACAAGATTTACAAAATAATTATAAAAGCCTATATTTATCCAATCCCCTCCCAGCCATTCACCATAACTACAATACAACACAAAAACAAGAATCAATGCCCCACAGTACCCTTCAACAAAAAACCTGACTGCATATGACACACACACACTTATTCTCAAACACACAGGCCGATAACACTCACCCCACCCCTCTTTTCTCTTCTAAAACAAGTCACCTACTGAAATCATACACGTCAATTATGCAATAGGATGTACAGGATTATGGTCCTACTGCTCATCCTGTTTCTTCAACATGCTCTCCATCACCAGCAAAAATAAACTCATCAAAGCTACACACTGCGAATAACATTCCAATGTCATTCTGTTTAGCTACATACAACTGAAGGATTGTATCTCTTTTTTTTCTCACTCTTTTTAATCCACTGGGATGTTTTATGATCTTAATGTGTGATCTTCTTTGGTTAAGCACTTTCAGTTGCCTTGTGCATGAACTGTTCTATCTGATCAAACAATCAAACAACCAATTCTGTGACATGTCCTCGAGTGGCTTTGCCCATTGCTTTTTTTCTTAAAACAATCCTTATTCTTGGTTTAGTCATGTGACAAACCCAACCGAGAAACAGGGCAGTATCATTACAAGCAAATCACAAATTCAGCTGTAACATCCAGAGATATGATGCAACATTGGGAGGTTTGTTTATAAACCAAATTCAAAGGAAAATAACAGTTTCGAGGAAGACAGACATCCCGCCCATAATATAATGTTATTATGAAATATTTCCCAGCAAAAGGACAATATTGTTGCATTAACACGGCATAATTCTAAAAAATACAATAAACATAGTTGCCTGATACATAAAACAATTAACATTTAAAGTTGCTGTACATAACTTGTCTTCGCTCATAATAATACAGAAAGACTATTGTAAAATATGTTATTTAATTGAATGTGTTTGAGCATATGTTGGCACAACTTTACATATTACATTTTAGTACACACTCAAAAGGAGTAGGCTAAAGCATGAGAGCATATGGACAATAAAACTGTCCATATGCCATAAAAGGGTATAAAAGGGTATAATACGTGCTTTGTGAAGAAAAAGAATGCAGTTTTTGTGTTTGCTATAGCTTAGGTACAGGCCTCTTCCCGTTAACCTGACTTTGTGATAGTATTTCTAGCTTTAAAATGAGGAGGCCTCTCTTACCAACAGAATCATGTCTCAGCGTGATGTGGTGACTGTTTTTCCTTATCAATTGTTTTGATTCCCGCTCATTGGCTTACTGGCATACTTGAGTGTGTTGCCAAAAAAAAAAGTCTAGCTAATAGTCAAATAAATTGGCCAATATTGGTTTGCACAACAAATGTTACCGGTACTTTGGTCACCTGGTCCATGAGCTCATTTACTGTAAGTTCAAACTTTCATTTCATCGCATTTATGGATTTATTTTTGGAGTGGTTCCTTTTTGGTGCAGAAGGGTCTAAGACTGATGATCTGGAACAATTAAGGACATTTATTAACCTTTCTGAACAGTGGTCATCTTGCTCCCTATGTGTTTGTTACTGCATTTAGAGCCACTAGAATATAAGTACGAGCTTTCAGCGCCTGTCACTACTTCACGCCACGCTCAATAAACAAATACCAATCAATCAATCGACACCTTTAAATGTTAATCAGAGAATACAATATACATATACATTCTTAACACACATGCACAGAGGTTTTCAGAATTATCTATTAACGTTTTCATGACATAAATACTAAATTTTAAATTTTAATGTGACAAAAAGCAACAATAAACCCAGAAGTAATCATTAACATGAAGCGAATATTTTAGGACATATTTGAAGAGGATCTGATGATTTAAGTTCGGTATATAAATGGGTAACTCACCGCTGATGTTCAGAATTCTTTGTTTTCATGTAGTTCCAGAGAGTTTTTGAACTAGCTAGCTTAGCTGTTACCTGCCTAGCACCTCATGGGAGATAACTATTTTATTTGTAATCATTAAATACATTTTGAATATCAAGCGATGTCTAATATTCGTTCAAATACATTTTTTAATTATATTTGAAAATAAATACCAGCGCTGTAGGGGCTAGAGGACGCGTCTTGATCGCTGCTCGTTCTGTGAGTTGAGGAGAGCGAGCGTCACCCCAAGCCTTTAATTTTTGCGTTCGGAATTCATACACAAGCTGAATCAATGAGCTCAAGTTTTCAATTAAATTACGGATTATAATACAACTTGTATTTAGTAATTAGCATTTTTATGAACTCATTAGAAAAACAATCGAGTATAGCTTCTTTAACATGGAATATTAATTTATTATTAATTAATCCTCAATTATAAAATAGTATTTTTCAGTTCTTGTCTCATTCAACAACATGTATGGACATTTTTCAACACTCACCTTTTCACCTTGTGTGTAATGCCCCTACACCTTTTCTCTTTAAGAACAACCCATATTGGCTGTCATTCAGAACCTTAGGTTTATTAAAATCTATTAAGGCCCATGACAAACAGTAAACGAGCTGACAGTGGAGGCAGAGAACGGGTAGGAGCAAGGACTGGAGCAGAGACAAGACACACACGGGTCGACAACTGAGGACAGAGGAGCAGCAGGTAAGCAGTATTCTACAAAAAGAAATCAGGTAAGAAAAATATAAGCAGAGCTTTACCGACTGAGATGGAATTATCTGGCAGAGAAGTGGTGAACAGACTGGGTAGGTCATGAGCAGACTGTCAGAAACATTGTCCATGGGGACATCATGAGGCCTGAAAACATACTGATCAAGTAGACTTGCTGTCTCAAGCCCAGATAGCAGTTTAGGAAAAGGCATACAAATGGACAGACTTAAAAAACGGTCACCAATTGTTAAATTGGTGCTATTACCTTCTGAAGGAGGTAGGCCAGTGACAAAATCTGGAAGAATTGGACGGAGCAATCCACTAGGGGCACAATGCGAAGCCTTATTACGGGCCCAGACTAAGCAGGCTAAAACAAACTCACTGGTGCCAGAGTTCATGGACGACCACCAGAAGCGTTTGCGCAACGACAAAGTACCATTTATACCAGGGTGACGGGCAACTTAAGAGCAATGACCCCACTGGAGCACAGCAGAGTGGGCAGATTGAGGCACAAGTAGTAAACCTAACGGACATTTGGCAGGGACTTTAGATTTTCCTGATTGATAAGCGCTTGAAAAACAGCTGGTGAATTGGTGAATGAGACCAGCAGACAGACTCTCCGTTAGGTACACCTCCATAGCCTCCATCTCTGGTTTAGAAATATTGATAGGAGAATGGCTCACCAGTGTCCCTCCAGAGGTTATCGAGCCTGAACTTTTGGCAGACTCTGACAGTTGCACAGAATGTGTCCCGCCTGGCCACAGTAGATGCAGAGCCCCTGGCAAAAGCGGCGCTGACGATCCTCCTGGGTGAGGTGCATCCTCCTGAACTTCGTAGGCTCCTCGGCGGGGAGATCTTTGTTGAGTAGTAGAAGGAACGATGGCAGCAGAAGGAGCAGGGAACTCTCGCTGACATGGAACTGTGGCGTATTGAGCTTGGAAAAGACGAGCTGAATCTGCCTACCCACTCCCTACGTCTCTCTGGGCGGTCATTAAGGCGTAAAAAACTGTAGAATTAGCATTGGCTAACTCTACCGCCCAAGCTGAAGCTTTCCCAGTCAGTAGACTCATGATAAATGCTACTCGAGACTGATCAGTGGCATAAGTAACATGCTGCTGATTAAAGTCTAACATATACATTGGTGCAAAAACTGTTTACATGACCCTACCTCTCCAGAGTGTCTGTTTGAAGTGGGGATAAAGGGCTCCCGGGGCTGATATGACTGGGGAAGAACAGCTATCTGGGGCGCTGGTCAGTGCTGGACTGGCCATCGGCCAATGCCCGAAGGGCCGATGCCCATATTTGGGCCGGCCTGTCTGCCTCATACAAAAAACATGTTTGTGAAAAGTGTAAATCCGTTGAGAATTGTTCGAGGGGGGTGCGCGTGTCCGCGGGGCACCCCCTTTATGTAATCGAACGGGATTCCGCCACCTCAGCTGCCGCAGTGTTCCGGGGCAGCTGCGGCCGCTTTGTAATGAACGGTTCCTGCGTCCAGCGGCTGTGAGCGGCGTGACCATGTACCCAAGACCTAAACGCGCACAGGACCATTCTCTGCTATTTGTGTACATGTCTTTGCGTAATCTGTGCACCCAATAAATACACCTCTGCAGGAAACAGTTTGCGTCTCCTCACTCCTCTTGAAGCGCGACTAAACTCCATCCATCCATCCATTTTCTACCCTTTAATCCATTTCTGGGTCAGGGGGGTGACAGTCAGAGATGCCACCCAAGTCTCATAGCACCAGCCCCTCACTGACCCTCTGCAGGTGGTGAGTCCACAGGAGGACGGCTGCTCTCTGACTGTGAGCATAGCCTTGCGACTAAACTCCCTAAATTAAAGCTCGGGTACCTACATTTTCCATTACATTAAAAGTTCATGTTGGTTGTCCCCAAAAGTAAAATGTTGTGAAAATATCAAACAGATTTAGAGCCAGCCAGTGTCTGACATTATGCATTTCCGACTTTTTTGACCAATTCTCATCCCTGTGATAGAAAATAGTGTCTGTGTCCACCTCCATCACTCTGAGACATGTTTATTACTCTCTTGTAATGTAGACTATTGCACTTTATTTTATTGTTGAAACTATTGTTGATCCTCTACAGTATATGCTTCCACATACTGTATAAACAAAAGTGAAACACGCCTGGGCCGTCAAGAAGGCAAAAATGCCCGGGCCGTTTTTCGGTCCCAGTCCAGCCCTGGTGCTGGTCAAATCTAGCCTGGTCGTACCACACCATAGTACAAATGACATCTCGTACTAAGGTCTAGAGGTGCTCCATTGAGCTCCGTTTACAGGTGGGAGGGGTTAACTCCTTTTGCAGATTGAAACGATTGGATCTGAGTTTACCGTGACGTATGTAATGCGCCCGAGTCTTTTGTTAGCATTTAGCATTTAGCCTAGCCATCTCCTTTGCTGCTAACGGAGCCCGTGGGGAGTAGCGCCACAATTTCTTCTAGCGATTACATTTGCTAAACATTCCTATTGCTCTGGCTTAAATTTCTTGAATCAGAATCAGAATCAGAATCATTTTTATTGCCAACGTAAGTAACGGGAGGTCACAGACTTGGAAATTGCTTTGGCTCAGTGCAACAGTCAAAAAGAGATAATAAAAATAAGAATAAAAAACACTTCTAAAGAATAAATTTAAATTTAAAATAGAGTTACAGTACTAGAGTAATAGAACCAGACCGGATTACTTTACTATCTGTTCGACGCAAACTCTTGACGTCACCAACAAATAAATACAACACTCTCCTACCGCGCTCGCTGGTTGGTCGGTCAAAATTCAACCAATTGTAATCGCTAACCCATGGACCAGACCCAGACGTTACATGCAGTGAAATGATGATTGAGCAGAGTGTGGATAGCTTAGGCCAGGCTAGGTCAAATCATGACCAGAATCCGGAGCAGGACCTCGAATAGCTGATGCCATACAGGGGAGTTGATTGGAAATCTCCGACAATCTTCCACTGAGCTGTTTAACCCTTTCAGTAAGTTATTGGATGTATTTCATCACAGTGTTTAATGTATGGTCATGCTGTCTGACCGTAGCCCCTTGAGAAGCCAGGGCTTGTTTACCTTTTTCAGTCTCTTTAAGGGCTTGGGTAAGTTTTTTGCTCTCTGCGGGGTTCATGATGACCAGATTATTCTATTATGAACTGCAGGTTGAACCCCAATGCAGAAGCTTGAGACATGTGGCAGATTTAACAAAGATTTATTTTACAAAAAAGTACGAGCTGGCAGTGTAGGCAGGGAACGAGTCGTAGAGCAAGGACTGGAGCAGAGACCCACGGATCGACGACAGTGGAGCAGCAGGTAAATAGTATTCTACAAAAAAAATCAGGTACAGTATATAAGTACATAAATAAGCAGAGCTCTACCAATTAAGACGGAATTATCTGGCAGAGAAGTGTTGAACAGACTGGTCTTACACAGACGGTGAGTGATGAATGAAGTGCAGGTGTGTCTGGTCTGCAGCACCGGAGAGCCGACCACGCCCCTGCCGCACACATGCCCCGCAAAACAGAACAGGTGGGGAGAGGGAGCACAAACACTACATCCTCACAGCATTATTATTGTCTACTGAGGCAATCTGTGATGCCAGCTGAGGTCCGATATGAACAATATAGCCATTGAATCCAATGACACTTATTACTTTTTCATCATTTTTTATCAATTCAATTCAATATATTTTTAATAGCCCTAGATCACAACAGCAGTTGTTACAGAGGACTCTACAGGGTTGTTGTTTCACCAACAACAGACCAAAGAAACAAAAAGTTCAAGCACAGGAAATGCAATAATAGCAAACACATACGAGCCATTGGTCCATAGCGAGCAGAATGACTAATGTCCATAAATGTTAATTACTTTAAATGTCCCGAATCATCACGGTCAATCTAAGACCCTCCTGCATCAGTAAGGAACATCACCTAACACAATGATCCTTGACTGAAAAGAAAAGGAAATTAATATTTTTGGTGGACATTTGTTTCTTGAAAATACAGGATTGTGCAGCTGGGTTCCAGATGTGAATTGGATTCGTAGTAATGGACTTGACGTGGCTCACCCATGGCACGGCCCTCAGTTCGACCACACAATAGAAAATAATGAAGGTATCAAGCACATTCATTATACATTTATGCTTTTATTCAGCCTATACTCTTTTACAGACATTTGATAAAAACACATTTCTGCAGGGTTCTATTTACTGTTCAATGGATCTGGGTCTGAAGACGATGAGAAAGCCTCCGTCTCTGCCTCGATCCCAGACAATTTCTCAGAGTTTTGTGTTGAATTTTGGTTTTTCATGTTGGGGCCGACTGTGTCCTCATTGGAGCTGTCCATTCAGACTGTAAGTATAAGAAACCAAATCAAAACAATTTATTGTCATTATAAGTGATAGGTGACAAACTACGAAAAAAATTATGTATATTGTGCCAAAAATAGGCATAAAGGCATGTATAATACATTTTTATACAATTCTAAATACACTCAAGAAATTCAACGGTGCTGATTATCAATAAATCGTATGACATTATAAAATGACAGAAGTGACAAAGCAGTGGAAACATATATTTAAAACGTTTACGGTGAGGTGAAAATCTTTTCAGACTGGACATATTGGCACCAGGATAAAATTATTGTAAACTTTTGAGTCAAGTATGATCATTTTCATTTTTTTAGAAATCTTCTGAATTGTTGGTTTGGACTCGACATGGCACCCAGAATCAAAAGTGGATGAAATCTCAAGTAAATATTACTAATAGTGATATAAAGAAGGTAAAACAATTTTGTTTAAATTGGTATTATTTAAAATACATTACTCACAGACAAAGGGTTTAATTCACACCATGTTTAACTCTGCAGTTGAAGTTTAGCGCGTCTAGAAACCGCGAGAGCAGAGGATTTATTGCTATAGATGACATTTTGGTGAAGAGAGGAGTTTGCCAACATAATGGTAAGTTTGAAATGGAATATACAGTATAATAAATGTGATGTATTTTCATTTCTCTTGTTCCATTGTTTTCAGATGTGTGTGGTTTTGATTCGAGCTGGTGCAATTATGAAAATGATGTGAGCCACAACGGACGGTGGACCCGAAGAAAAGCGACAGAGATGGATCCAGATCACACATACAGGACGGAACATGGTGAGAAGTCTTATCAAAGTGATGACTCAATAATCCAGTAACAGTTTGTCCATTACCAACGTTTTTTACCAGTCATACGCTGACCACATCCTGTCTCTTTGGAGTCATCGTTTTCTTGCTGGCGTTGCAAATATACTTTTACATTTAGATCATCTTCCAAAGACTTATTTGTCACAGTAACCCAGTGATACAGAGGCCAGAGCTTTCACTGCTATGAGGCGAAGAGGTATTATCGTTCTGACAGAGCTGATTAATGAGGCCAAAGTAAGAACACATAAATAAATAGATAAATGTCCTCATTGACAAATAATTCTTCCTATATTGCGTCAAAGTCTGGGATAAAAAAATATATATTATAGAAAAACATCTGTTTTGTGCAAATATTGAAGCAAAAAAATGTTTTGTCTATGTTTATTAATTTATTCTTCAATAACATCACAATTGTTACCTGTGCACACTGGGGATATACCAAAGACAATTCCTAGTTTGTGACTTCCTGTTACTTACAATGGAAATACAAAATTATGCTGATTTAATTGAATTAAAATGATTCACATTTTCTTGTATTTTAAGTTCTGCTCTATTTTTCCGGCCTGTTTAATTACTAATTACTAATTTAATTTATTCCGAAAGCCTGGATTATTATTTTCTTGAGCAGAGCGTGAAAAAAAGAAAGTACAGGCAAAAAAGGCCTGCATCATGTAAAAATGTCATTCTCTGCACATAACAGAAGTTTAATAATAACATATTTTGTAGTGATATTTTAATAATTATTTGTTACCATTTATTTTTTCATTTGTTTAGTTTTGGCAGTTCCTCCTATTGGTCATAATATTACAGTGCGATAATAGTATTATGTATTATTTGACTTTCCATCAAAATGACGGATTAGGACCATGTGTGTTCTTTCAGGTTTTTACATCAGTGTGGAGCCAAATTCATCAGAAGTGGCTCAGCTCCTCACTCCGCTGCTCCCCGCGTCTGTAGAGATGTGTGTGCGCTTCTGGTGAGTCCACCTCACTAATAGCCTGGCTCTGCCAGACCCATGTAGTTCCGCCATAATCCACCAGAGGTGTTTTGGTTTCATGAGAAAATCTCCAAAACAATAAAGGTGAGTAAACTGTCCAAAACAACTGTTGGTAACTTTATTGAACATCTGTCCCGGTGACGCCGCAGTCGGTTTCAACACCACTTTGTTTTGGATTTCGCCCATACGCAGCTGCACATTGGACGCCTATCTCATCCACAACAAACGGCTACAAAATACTCTAACACAAAACTCTAACACACACTCTAACACAAAACTCTAACCACCACACAGCTAACACAATACTCTGTTACACTCATCTAACACAAACGCGATCCACTCACGCGTAACACAATCGTAACTCACACTCAACACATACGTCTAACTAAAACGCGAACCACACACTCGAAATCACAATCGTCGATCACACCACTCTATACACATTCTCTAACACCACTTAATCTCAAACTCTAACACAAAAACTCTATACACACACTCGTAACTACAGGAACACACACTACTAACACAAACTCGAACAACACTCTAACTCTAACTTTTACACAAAGGAGTAAACACACACTCTAAACTCAACAAACGTCTAACATCACACTCTAACACAAACTGTAACACACACTCTAACACAAACTCGTATCACACTCTTACACATAAATCCAACTCACACTAGGAACTCAAACGGACACAAACTCGAACACACTCTGAACACACCACACTAATCACAAACTCTTACAAACACTCTAAACAAACTTCTAACATCAAACGATGAACTCAATCTCTAACACACACGCTAACACAACGATCACAAACTATTAACACACATTTCTAACACACACTCTAACACAAGACTAACACACACTCTAACACACACTATAAACACAAATATACCACAACTCTAACACACTCTCTAATCACAAACTCTAACTCATACTCGAACACAAACTCGAACACAAACTCTAACACTAAACCTTAACACACCTTAACACACACTCTAACCAACAGCGAACACAAAACTCGTATAACATTCTAACACACACTCTAACACACACGCTACACATAACTCTAAACTCCACACTCTAACTCATACGCGAACACACTCTAACACTAAACTCTTAACACACACTTAACCACAATCTCTATCTACACACTGCGAATAACAAAACTCTAACACACTTCTAACACAATACTCTAATACACAAAACGCAAAACAACACTCTGCTATCTCAAACTCTAACACACACTCTAACAAAACTAACACCTCACTCTAACTACAAATCAAACACAATACTCGAAACAACACTTAAACACACACTCGAACACACATCTTATCACAAACTCTAACACACACTCTAACACATACTCTAACCAGTCAAACTCTAACACCACACTCTAACACAAAACTCGAACACACCTCTAACCAACAAACTCTAACTCACTCTCTAACATCAAACTTAACACACACTCTAACACTCACTCTAACCACACTCCTACACTAACTTCACACACACTCTAACACAAACTCGAAACACACGTCTTACTCTATACTCTACACAAACGCTGAACACAACTCTAACACAAACTTAACACACACTCTAACTCACACTTAACACAAACTCTGAACTCAAACTCTAATCACACATCTAACTTCAAACTCTGAACACAAACTCTAACACACATTCAACACACACTCTAACAAACCTCTAACTCTAACTACACACACTATAACACATAACTCTAACACAAACTCTTAACACAAACTCTATAACAACTCTCTAACAAAAACTCTAACACAATCTTAACCACACTACTCTAAACAAACTCTAACACAACTCTACACAAACTCTAACACAATACTCAAACACCTAACTCTATACACCACTTAACACAAACTCTAACCATACTCTAACACACATTCTAACACACACTCTACACAAACTCTATCACAAACTAAACCACACACTTCTAAACAAACTCTAAACATAAAACTCTAACACAAACTCTAACACACACTCTAACACAAACCTCTAAACACAAACTCTAAAACACACACTCGAAACACAACTTAACACAAACTCTAACACAACTCTACACAAAACTCTAATACACACACTCTAACACACACTCTAACACACACTCTACACAAAACTCTAGCACACCATTCTAACACACACTCTAACACACATCTCTAACACAAACTCTTAACACATATACACCAAACTCTAAACACACATCTAACACAACTCTAACACACACTTAAAACAAACTCTAACACACACTTCTAACACAAACTCTAACACACACCTAACACAAACTCTATCACAAACTCTAACACACACTCGCTAACACTAACTCTAACAACACTCTATCCACAAACTCTAACACACCACTCTAACCAAAATCTAACAAAAACTCTAACACACACTAGACCACACACTTGACACACCCTCTAACACCTAACTCTAACACCCACTCTAACACAAAACTCTAACACAAAACTCTAAACACACACTCTAACCCAAAACTCTCCCACACTCTAACCACAACCTCTACACAACTCTAAACCACACATCTCCTAACACACATCTAACCACACACTCTAACACAAACTCTAACACACACTTAACACAAAACTCTAACCAAAAACTCTAACACAAACTCTAACACACACTCCTCACCCACACACTCCTAACACCAAACTCTAACACACATTATACACACACTCTAACACAACTCTAAAAAACTACACACACTCTAACACATACTCTAACACAAACTCTAACACAAACTCCTAACACCACTCTAACACAAAAACTCTCTACACAACAACCTCTAACACACCCACTCTTACACACACTCTAACACAAACTCTAACACAAACTTAACCACAACCTTACACCAATCTCAACACCACACTCTAACATAACCTCATAACACCACCATCTAACACAAACTCTAACACAAACTCAAAACACTACTCTAACACAAACTCGAACCCAAACTTCTAACCACTCACTCTAACCACAAAACTCTAACACCACTCTACACCACACTCTAAACACACCTTCTCACACAAACTCTCACAACACACTCTAAACACCACTCTAACACAAACTCTAACACACACTCTAACACCACACTCTAACACACCACCTAACACACACTCTAACACACACTCTATCACAAAACTCTAATACACACTCTAACCACAAACTCTGACACACACTCTAACACACACTCTAACACACACTCAACACACCACTCTTAACACAAACTCTACTACACAGTCTAACACACACTCTAACACACCTCTGAACACACACTCTAACACAAAACTCTAATCCCACTCTAACACAACTCTGACACACACTCTAACACAACCTCTAATACACACTCTAACACAAAAACTCTGACAACACTCTAAACACACACTTAACCAAACTCTGGACAAACTCTAACACACCACTCTAACACACACTCTAAACACACACTCTATCACAAACTCTAATACACAGTCTCTAAAACACAGTCTAACACACACTCTAACACACACTCTCACACACACTCTAACACAATCTTGACACCCAACTCTAACACACACTCTAACCACACCTCTAACCACACCTCTAACACAAACTCTAATACACAGGGTCTAACACACACTCTAACAACACTCTAACACAACATCTAACACACAACAGCAGAACTTTATAAGTAAATCCATCTCACCCTCAGGAACACTTTCTTTCTTTCTTCTATCACGGTTTTCCTGTGTTTTAGTTTTAAATAAATACAATAATTGATAATAGCTTTATTTAGGGGCACCAAGAATAAAACTCCCAACTGATACCGTGCATATGACGTCACAATATCCAATTTATGGTCATTTATTGATTTAAGTCAATTCATGAGTCCTTTCATTATATAATTAGTCCAATTCTCTTCAATAGATTTGAAGGTAGTGAATTCTTTTTACCCCAAACCCAGTGACCCAATTTCTGGAGTTAAAAGTCACAAATATCACTTTCTGACAAAGATGGTTTTGTAGATTTAAATGACGGTAGACACCCATAAGATAGATATTGAATATGCAATTTGACAAGAATTTAACATGAAGGGAACGTTGATTTCAAGATACATTATTAAAATGCTAGGCTAAAAGTGTAGTACGCAAGCCCTTTGTCTATGAATGGTTGGTATAGGGCTGAGGCCTGCATGTGTTTCAGCTTGGTAAGAGAAGTATTCTTTGAAGATAGGTGTTAATGAAAGCCAACCGCTGTTGTGTTTCACCGTGGCAGCAGATCCATTACAACAGAATAGCCTTTGGTGAATAGCAGTCCTTGGTATTGAGTGGTTGAGGATGGAGGCTTCTTGTACGGGCCTGGAACCCATGCGGCTGCATCATGTGGCTGAACCAGTTCCTCCCACGATCCACAGTCTAGTGCCCAAACTCAGCAACTTCTCAGGTTGGACGCTGGAGGTATTGAAGGGTTGTGGACGTCTCTCAAACGTGGTGCTGAGGTTTGAGGCCATCTAAAGAGGGCCAAAGCCCCTAGGTTGCTGAGCAGAGGCCAGGGAGGTATGGGCACTCCGGTGGTTCCAACAGCCGACTGGTTTTTTTTCCCTGTGGGTCCTTGTAAGTTTCACATCTTGTAGAGTCGTTGGGGAGGGTGTTGCCCATGGCATTATCTTTAAGACATTCTTACCCACAATAAAACCTGAACCCACAAGGATTAAACACAGTGGAGACAGAAGTTCTAAGATGTCTCTATATACAACAAAATGTCTTTGATTGAGGAAAGAGGTCATTTTAATTTATTCCACAACCCCCCCCCTTGGTCCAGCCTCCGCAAACAAAGCGATGAGGTTGACACAGCATTAATTTTGATTTGACGATGAGACGTTCACTGTCCTAGTTCTTTACGGGGCAGGAGCTCTCAGCAGTGGCGGCTGGTGGAATTTTCTACTGGG